GTGCTCGGATGCATCTGTGAAGTTCAAAAGGTTTAATGCTGTTTGACTTTGATTCAATATTTGCATTCTAATGCGCAAACCATCGATTTGTTTTTAGAAGCGTTTCAAAAGAAATGCGCACGGCTGCTTAAAGTGATGACGAAACTCCTGCAATTTCTACTCAAATCCAATAATGTCAGAATAATGAAAAGCGCCAAAAAAGGAAAATAAAATTATATATGTATGTACAGATGTATGATTGAAAACAACTAAGTTCAGCTATTTATTAACTTACACAAGTACTATATATACCCGTACATTAGAATGAATTTAAAATTATATAATCGCAATTTAATTTACATAAAGCAACAAAAAAAAAAAGCAAACAAAAGAATAAAAAATATTAAGTAATGCCTTTTGCTGACAAGATGTGAATTAAGCTTCTTCTTCAAGTCGCTATAAGCAACAATTGTGGTTTTCAATCACTTTTCAGACTTTACAAGTATGCTGTAAACTGTAGAATAGAGAAATGTTCTGTTCTTTGAACGGAAATTTCAGGATGTGATACTTAACAGCTTAATTGCTTAGGTGGCTTGTGGTTCAAGCTATTTTTCACTGTCAACAATATACGATTACGGTTGTAATAACTACAGAAAAAGTCATTTATCTTCTTTTGCGTTTTCTTACAGAATTGTTTAAGGTATTGTACGAGTATAGTTATTATTATTATAATTTTGCTTTTGTGTGCAAACCTTGGCAAACCTTCCAGCACAATTGAATAATATCTACTATATTTTTGCAAAGCAGTTTGTCCCAACTGATTGGTGATCAACGCACAACCCAATCGTAAACAGGAAGCTAAAATTGGAGCACAACTATCCTTTGACAGTTAAGGAGAAAATTTCAACTCAAAAGGAAGGAAAAGGGGCTACAACGTTTGTATGAGAAATCTGTCTTTTTCATATGTTAACTTCAAATAGGTTTTGTATACTCTCCGAAGAAGAATACGAAATAAACTGCATTCACTGTTTGTTGAAAAATTTTTTTGGATCTTGATGTATTTGAGCTTTCTTGTATATATATCTTAATCCAAAATAGTATGATTAGTAGCTCAAGAATTTAAATTGTTTACTGTTCTAGAATACCATATTTTCTTATTCCCTCTTATATTGACAATGACAATCCCTATATAATAAATAACTGAAAATCCGGGAGTGGCTTTACACATCCATTTAACTATAGTATATTGTATGTAAATGAATAAAACATTATTCAAATGTTCTGTTGCAAAAAGTAAAATTCTATAAATGTCATAAAGTAAGACGGTTATAAAATAAAAGTCAGGTGCCAATTAATAGCAATCAGTACTTATGAAAAAGTAGTAATAAATAGTGATAGTTAATAAAACATTTAAATGTACAAAGTATATATTTTATTTGTATAGCCATCAGGAATATTATTAAGTAAATGACTTTTAAAATGCCATTTAGAAGTGCAAGTGCAGCCTTTGTTGACGCAATTCACTAAAATTTATTTACTCTTCACTCTTCGTATACAATTTTGTTGAGCATTGAGAAAATTTTTAGTTTCGCAAATATACATTTCTCTTGAACTTGCAGCCGAAGGTTCAATGTTTTGGCCTTAACGTCCACAACGACATTAAATATTTGAACAAAGTCTAGGCTTAATAATAAGAAGTCAATAAAGTTAAAATAAATATTTTTAGTTTGTCGTGCAAGTTGCTAATTAATGAATTTGTGAAATGTTCATAATATAACTTGTATGTACAATTCATCACAAAAGGCTGTGATATGTGACTAGAAACCACCTTATGTTTACACCCATATTTACATATTCCGTTAAAACACATGCTGAGTGGCTTAGCTAATATTGTTCTGACGAATTGATTTACTACACTGACAAAGTTTTAATGCTCCAAAGTATTGTGCACTTCAACCGGAGGTGCGGGAACGCCTTAAAGCCGTTAACTTTAATGGTCATAGGTCAGCAATTTCTTATTTAAAATGTTTTAGTACGTACTTAAATAAATACCGATTGGTACAGTTTATCTAATTGAATTTATTTATAGCACTGCCATATAGAATATACGAGTACATGTAAGAAATTTTAGCAATATTGTTGCACCTGTTTCAAAATGTCAAGCTAAATGCAATTTATTTTTGCTTTTCATTAACGAAATAATTATTCGCCAATTTTGTTGTGGTTTCCGTAATTTGACATTTAAAATGTAGTCAATTTTAGAAGGGAATAGAATCAATATAAAAAGTTTTTATTTTAAATAGTTTAATACATTTAATCAAATGGCTATTATGAAATCCCTTCGAAAACCCCTAAATGTGTCTATACATATACCCTGACAATTAGTACGCAGGAAGTAAATAATTCATTCATTGAATAATAATCGCAAAAAAAAAATATAATTTAAAATGACTCCATATTTAATTAAATTTAAATATCGATTGGAGCGAGTAGATTTTCTAAAGCATAGCAAGTTCACAAAGGTATAAAAACGTTTTTCTAATTCGTAAAGGTCATGTAGAAATATTAATTTTTATACCCTGTACCCAAAGGGTACAAGGGTATATTAGTTTTGTGCGAGTGCACATGGAACACACAGAAGGAGGCTTGGTAGACCCCACAAAGTATATATATTCTTGATCAGCATGACAAGCCGAGTCGATATAGCCATGTCCGTCTGTCCGTCTGTCCGTCTGTCTGTCTGTCTGTCTGTCTGTCTGTCTGTATGAACGCAAGGATCTCCGAAAGTATAAGAGCTAGAATAACCAAACTAGGTATACAGATTCTCCTGAGACCGAGAAAGGACGAGTTTGTTAATTTTTTCTGATCCGCCCCCCCACTCCCCCCCTATTACTGATTTTCTATAACTCCCGTAATTCTTGGAATTTTGAGCTAAAATTTGGTAGTCACATTAGGTTAGTAATTATATATCCGTATACTAAGTTTCATTATGATAAAATGATCGGAAAGAAAGTTATAGCCATATAACCAGGCCCAATGCACACATACATACATATGTACAAGTACACAAACACGCATAAGGCACGATTCTGATGTAAATGTAAATGTATGTATGCATGCATGGAATATTTTATATTTAATTAGTTAATATTTAGTTAATTAATTAAATTAATTTAGTTAATTAATTTAATTTAATTAATTAATTAATTAAATTACTTTTTTGTGGGGTGGTACAGGGTATTTAAGAGTTGAGCCTGCTCGACTTTAGCATTCCTTTCTTGTTTATTTTATAATTGCACTCCGAAACTATTATTTACTCTCGACAAACTTATTATTGCTGACTAATGCCGAATAGCACAATTTTCTTAAAATGATGGAAAGCATATTCAACACGTGCCCTAATGCTTCATAGTATACTCAGTAGCCGAAGGGTTAAAAGGTATACCACAAAGTCTAAACGCCAAATTGATGTAAGGGTTAGAAGGAGGCGTGGTAGACTCCATGGTATAGTTACATTAATGATCAGCATGACAAAACGAATCGTTATAGACATGACCGTCAGTCCCTAAGTCCAAATGAGCACCAAAAACTTTAAAGCCATAACAGCTAGGGGCAACAAACTTAGTATGTAGACTTGTTATATCCATGCCCAGAAGCCATATAGTATAGTCTCATTATTTTAAATAACGGCCGATGAACCGATCGTTGCAAAAATATAATTCAATACATAAAAGTATTACACTATTTACTATATCGAAAAGATGTTTGCTTAGATTGGTTGAGAGGTTATAGTGATAGATATATGCAAAATTCTGCTCCAAATTACTGAGCAGCTGATGTAACAAGATTTCCACTATCCTTACACATCCAGCCCGACTAAAAAAAACTATTAGTGTCTCTCTTGTGAAAATGTTTTTTTCTTAATTCTGACTATTTAACTCGCACGTTTATCTGAACACTCTTAATGGCTTGTTTTTAATGGACACTTAAAACATTTCTTAACACCCTTTAACGTAGGACCTTGGCATTAGCTTCAATGTCACTCGGAATTAGAAAAGAAAAACTACGCTATAGACTTGAAAAATTAAGATAACAGGTTAGCTATTATTTATTCTAAAATGATTCTCATCCCAGCAATTACTTATTTGAAATGTTTAAGTACGTACTTTAATTAATACCGACTGGTACAGTTTATCAAATTGAATTTATTCGTAGCACTGCCATATAGAATACACATATACTATACATATGTAAAAATGTTAATAATGTTTTTGCACCTGTTTCAAAACTTCATACTCATAAAAATGTTGTTTCGTCAACTCTTTTGTGGGTTTAATGATTTAAATTTTTATTGTTAACATTTAAATGGGAATAGAATCAATAAAAAAGTTTTTATTTCAATACACAAATTTAATTAAATGGGTAACACCCATTTAGGTCTCTTGGAAAAAACCTAAATTTGGGAATGCCCTGACAATTAGAAAGCACCACATTTTTAGGCAGCTGACTTGAGAGGTCAATACTTTGAACCAAATGTTAACTGCACGAAGAGCAGAAGACATTTATTTTGGCAGGAAATTGGAAAAGAAAGTAATTGTTCATCCCTTGAATAACAAGCACAACAAAGAAATATAATTTATTGCATTGATACTCGTATAGAGTTGAACAAAATTAATAAATTTAAAGTAAATTTTTTACGTAAATTTCTGCACTTCATACTTGTTTTTAAACATACATCTTGAAATACTTATTTAGTTTCTCAAGTCTGGTGATGTTAGAAATAAATTGGCTATATGACTCAACTATTTATTTGCTTTGCTAATATGACTTGCTGGCCACCATAAGCAGTTTAGCGTAAGTTGCGTAGGAATTTCTAAAACATTAATAGTTTTTCAAAACTGTGCACATTATAGAGCAGGCACTTCAGAAAAACGCTCTTTCTGTAAACTTAAACAACATGCAAGCTGTTGCAACGTGTTTTTAATTAATTAAATGATATTTATTATTAAGCAAATGCTCACCTCAAAGTCGAATGATCGTAAATTCCAGTTAATTCACAATTGCAATTGATTTCGAAATTTCGTGTGCAAGTATTTGTGGGTTATTGTTTGAGCATCTGATACCTCGACTATTGAATTATAAATTGTGCAGATCAAGATATTGTAGATTGTGCAATTGCTTGTTTACAATTTTCAAAAATTATTTTCTGTGAATTTGGCTCCGCACTTTCGAAATATTGAGCGCGCGGTTTTTTAACAGCAATAATATTGAACAACAGCAGCAACAACACGCGAATACGTTGCACAATTAGCCCCGAGAGTCGCTTTTCGAGACGGAAAAATCCCACTTTGAAAATATTTCTGGAAAAACGACTTGCTTACCCGCGCGCGCCTGTTTCTGTTTTCGTTGCCAAAAAGGCGTGCGCGCCAACTGAGCCACGAAAATTACTTTTCCCCCGAACGTTACGCGTTTCAGAACCGCGCTGCAAAGCAGACGAAAACAGACTCAGCTTAAGTCCGACTTGCAAAAACGACAACACCTGACAGCACCGCGACTGCGCTGCCGAGCCTATGACGCCGACTGCAGCCACGACTGCGTTGTAGGCGGCCACAACGACTACATGCGCAGCGGAGCTTTCCAACAGCAACTTAACAGCGCGCCTGTTGGGGGTAGTAACTGGCCTCTGTTTCTGTTACTGTTATCTGGGCGCAGGCGCGACAGCGACGTCACTGCGCTTGCGTTACTGTTACGAGTGCCATACGGAACGAAAAGTCAAATGGAGTGGCGACGCGCAAGTAACAAGACCTGTTAATTAATTAACGTTTTTCGAGTGACAGACAGATTGAGTGACGTTAGTGATTTGTTTGTTTGTTTTTGGATTTCTGTGAAAAGCTCTATTCAAACAAACAACTTAACACTAAGTGTGTGCTCAAAGCTGAAACATTTTATGCAATACTGCCAATAATACCCTCTAAGCGAAGGGTAGTTTAATGTGTTTTTTGTTTTTTTTTTCAATAGCTGAATCATTTTGTGCACTACGGCCAATTATACAATTGTTCAATTATACTGCCAATAAATAATTAAAAGAAAATTTAATTAATTTCCAGCGCCGCCTCTGATTATAATATGTTTATATTCAAATTGCTTTCATATAAATATTCTGTTGTAAAATTGATAACATTTCTGTTGTTTCTTGAAAATGTGTTATTTTATTTTATGTACTATATGTATATATGTGATATTTAAGCCGATTCGAATGTCATGTACAAGTATTTCAGATCATATGACCTCGAAATGTTTTAAAACCAGTACCACAGATTTGCTTAAGCCCTAATGCTGTCTACTTCCTTGATATGCCAATAAGTACATCAACTATATGCATTTTAATATTTTAATGAAAAATTGTGGAAACACAATTATAACCATGTATTCTTCTTAGAGTCCCCTTATATTTGCATATAAATGTAGGGAATTCCCATGTCGGAATTTTAAAAAGCTAGTCTTGAAGAATGTTTTTTCAATAGCCGAACCATTTTAAGCTGCGGTTAAGCTATAGAGTTTTGAACACAGTACCTTTATCTTCTTTGCGGTTTTTTTAACACTACCTGAGCTCTTTTTTTCTTTATAATTCCCATATGCGCCTCTTTTTTCTGGCTTCACTTTTCCATATCTCTCTCTTTTTGTTCTCCATATCTTTTGCTTCTCTTCTCTCACTCTTCATTGTCTCTTTTTTACGTTTTGCGTATTTTTATCAACATAAAGAAATATACCAAATAATCAAAAAATAAATTGTCTTTATATAGACTGAGCAGATTTTTAATTGCTGCTGGAATCTTAATCTACGATACATCGGGAATCCCCCACACTGAAAAGATTGAGCTCCATTTAAGTGGCTGTTAAATTTTACAGAATAGATCTTTGGCTTAAGCTAAATATTGTATCCAAAAATAGTCGTTCATTGTAGTGTAGTACGACAGCAGCAGTCTTTATCAACAAACAAATATTCTCTCTATATCTCGTCGCGCAGGTGAAAGTAAGAATTCTTTTTTTTTTTTGGAGGGGCAACATCCTTCTTAGCATTCTTTTTTGATTTATTTCTAATTACATATGGCGTCGCCTTCTCGAATTTGCACACTCAATTGACTCATCAATGTGTCGTCAGCGTGAGTTATCCAGGCAACATCCGTCAGCATTGCGCACATCAGACTACATCGTCGTTATCTTCATCATCATCATGGCTATCATCATCGTTATCAGCAGCTTCGTCGTCGTAGTCGTCGCCGACGATGTCGTCCTCCTACTTGGTATGCCTAAGCCGTGCGCCCGAGACATCGTTCCGCGTAGCACGCACATAAATTTTGTCGTGCTGTGAGTTTTCTTTTTTTTCATTCTGCATGTATTTTTTCCTTGCTAGACACTAGAGGCATTTTACTTAACTTTTTGTGAAATATAAGTATGTAAGTAGTAGAATGTACGGATTGTACTTTTTTATTTAATTTGCCTTTTTGTTTTAATCTCGGCGGCGCAATCAATCACGTACTTGAAAACATGTTTGTCGCTGTTTGCATCTGTTTATCGCCTTTGAATCTTATGTGACAAAAATGGCAGGCAACAGGCGCATAATAAAGCAAATTTTTTTGCCCAGCACAAACGAAAAAATAATACAATAAAAGGAAAATAAAAGTGTATTTAATTAAGTATGTATTTGCATATCCCATAGAATTTTAATTGCAGACAATAATATGAATTTTGCGTATTGAATTACGAATATTGCAAGAGCCAGTGAACTTTGAACTTTCGTATAGAAAAAATATTGAAATACTTTGCATCTCCTATATGCACAAAGGGAGGCATTTGAAAGCAAGAAAAATAGCTTCTCGAGCCAATAATTTGCTGAGAAAATTACTTATTTTCATGTCAAAGCATTAAGAATTTACATTTCCGAGCTTACCAAATCTTAGCGTGAATATTTTTTAGGCCATATTGAAGCCAACAATTACAATATTTCATATTTTTTTGTACTCGGCAATTATGTACAAAAATCTAAATAATATATTTCGACCATTAGATTCTTTAAATAACACCATCTTTATCATTTCCATTGTTTATTTATAATGCTTCCATAAGTATTCTCTTTCAAAGCTAACATTTCATTACTTATCCTAATTTCAATTTAAATGTCTGAAAACTAAATCGAAAAGCTGAATTTTAAATAACGACAACACATATATTTTCATGGATGTGGGAAAACGTGTGGCCCGGGCCGTCGAGCCGTGCTGGCCAGTCATAAATAAGCAAAAGCATAATGGAATTTCCAGGGGAAAAAAAAATCACTCATACGACATGTGTCCACCTAAACATTACTGTGCTTAATTGCTTTAATAAAAGTTTACTAAAGTTTGACTGTTGTAGCTTTTGGTATATTGGTGGCCATGCTGACAGCCCCATTTGTTACCATTTGATCAATGGTCGAAACGCGCAGTCAAACTCAAATTGGAGGTGAAATAAATTTAAGCTATTATCAGGCAGCAGGCCACCCACTGTGTAACTCAAGTGCCGTCTCCGTTCAGGTGGCCAAGTGTGCAGCAAGATGCCGGCAATACCATCCGTAATTAACTTCATTTCCATAGTCATAAGCATGCGAAGTCATCCAAGTAAATTTGATGGACGCAGCAAAAACAAATTGCAAGCGAATAAAAGTCAATGCCTGAATTCGCAACATTTCCGAAAAGTAATTGCTATTGCAGATTACGATAAACAGCAACTACCCATATACCCTCACCTACCCTCAATGTTTGCTCTACTATACATACATACATACTATAATTATCATTGCCCCCCAAAATGCTGTCACAAACGGACGATGACAGTCACGCGATTCGCACACCGTTTGTTGCCATCGGCGTGATTTAGCATCGAGGCGACGTTCGTGTCAAGCTCCTTGATTTATTTTATGACTCAACGCATCATCCGCACGGCTTACGGGCTTTAATTCCTCCATAAAAATATCTGTCATGATAGAACGCAAAAAGTTATGTGCCTGCGATTCGCAAAACTGTGTGCACACACAAATAAACGCGAACAAATCACAAAGACCAATTGAAATTCAAAGCGAGTTCAACGGCAGCGACAAGTTGCTACAAGATCCCCGTAAGTGCAAAAATAAACTCCCCCGATGCATAAAAAAGGGTAGATTTCTTTCTACCCAGCCAACTGCAAGTGTCTGATTAAATACGATTTTCGCTTTAAGTTACAAAAGCAATCAATTTGAAATGCAGACAAAGACGATTTACTTCTAAAGAACTCAGAACGATACTACAAATATAAACCTAGTATAGACAGACAGGAGTTAGTGAATCGAATAATTCAAAAGTTTTCCAGAATTAAAAACACTATTTATTAATTCTGTTTATTGTTTTAGTATGCACTTAAATAGCTCATTTGGGAACACAACTGAAAATCAATTGAAAATGCAAATCTTAACTTTTGTAAAACCCACGCAATGCTATAAAAAGATAACAACAATATTTATATTAAAGAACAAACAAATATTTTGAAATATGCCAAAAATATTCTTCAGACAGTAGATAACTTTTATTAATAATCAGAATCTGTATTCGCTACACTAAAAAAATGAAGGGTATTTGGTTTTGGTGTGCACGCTTCTAACACCCAGAGGGAAGAATCCAAGACACAATGTTCGTCTGTTTTGATGGGCACTGAGATCGATCATGCCAGATCATTTATGATACTGTCGTATGTGATTCGAATTAAATACTTTTTTATTTATAAACTCGTGGGACCCTAATTTTTTCATATTGAGAATGTTGTACTAATTTATGTGTGATAGATGTTCATCTCTCGTAAGGAAACATTAGGGTATACACGAGTATATTTAAGAAGTATAAACAAGAAATTGTAGGCCAGGAAGCATTTCAAAAGCGGGTCTGAGATTCCTTTTCTTTTGTTCAAATTTTTTATTTTTGAAATTAGATTTTAACCTGATTTTAAACTGTGTTAACTTTTTTCTTTTTATTTGGTAGATCTGATCACATAAAGTTTATACATTTCTGGCAATGAACGCAAATACACTCTTCGGGTATAGACTATGTATATAGTATGAACTTAATTTTACGACGTAATTGTGCACATTTTCTAACTAATTGACTTCCGTATTAATGACAAAGCCTTCAAAGTTAATTGCTACCTAATTGAGTGTTTGCTTTAACATCCCATTGTAAAAAGGCTTATTAAAACGAACGTAATTGCTTAAATATATTTGCTTGGGCCTAATCAATTTTAAAAGCCCTCCCATGTTATACATACTTAGTGCATTTAGTGATGACTGTAGTTCTCTATTAGACTCCATTAAATGAATGTTTAGTTTCTTTTAAATACAATTAAGAGATTTGTAAGCACTGCAGACATGCTTCTCTATCCTTGTCAGTTAAAAAATATATAATATTTAGATAAGTGTTCCGAACAGAGCTAACAAACATTTCGCTATATAATGTTTTCATTCGCCTTGGAAGTGGTTTCGTCTTCCATGCTTCCTCGACCTTTTTTGAACACAAAACCTTCTTTATTTTTCGTCTGCAAAAGTTCCAAAAATATTCAGCAATCTTTATTTATATATGAATTTTATGAAATTCTAAGCAATTGTTTCGAAAAGATCAGCAACCGTAAAGATTTATTTCATTCTCAAAATTTTATTCAGTTCAGTCAGTGTTCCGAAGTATACCAGCTCAGACCTAAAAATATAGAAAAACTAAATTTAAAGTCTTTATCAAGTTGTTAACACACTATAGGTTTAAGCATAAAGTGATATTTTAATAGTTTCTAAAGTTTTTAAAAAAAAAGAATGCCTAAAATTGCTTTGATTTGAAAAATATTTTTCTAAGCTTTATTTCATCCTCATGTCAGGACCTAAAAATTAAATGAAAAAATTGTTAACACACTATATGTTTAAGCATAAAGTGATAATATTTTAATAGTTTCTCAAGTTTTTAAAAAAAAATTAAAATCAAAAAATTAAAATATTGATTAAATAATGCATTTAAAAAATAATTTATGCATATGATCGATGAAAAAACTTCAACAAATCCAACGCAGATCCATCTTAAGGCGAAATAGTGCGTCATAATAATGAATAATTTTTTCTTGTACGTACGCCCTTGATACTAACTGTATATTTTGACACTAAATGCACTTATGTCTTTTCTTTTATCCATAATCAGATAATGTAATGTTATTGTCAATATAAAAACCCTTGAGGGGGTCAACAACTTCGTGGCGAAGTGTGTGAGACTGCAACGCCTGTAACATCGCTGTCAATATTCCCAATAGTTGCGATTAGTGATAGAAGAATGATCAATAATCATGATCAATGATCGCGACCGAATTCACAAACACTAAGAACGTCGTTAAACAGAAAAAGCAACAAGGTTTATTACCTACAAATATATTTTGATTTTGAAATAAACAAAAATGAAATCCAATTACGAATACAAATGTCAAATTTTGTGTCTAGACATATCTATCTACTGACCATCAGTCATTAAATAAGCATTGATCTTTTTTGTTTTACATTATCATTTTTTGACCATAGACTAAATCGATGAAATATTCAAAGCTGGAGTTTATGGCTTCAATAAATCAGTTGCCAAATATATGTACATATATCAATAAAAATGCATTGTTAGCTTGTCCCTGATGGAAAAAGCGCTGCACCTGTTCGCCTGAAATTTAAACACATTTTAAAATTCGGTTCCAGGATTAAATGCGTAATCTGATCATCTCTTTCGTCAATAGCTATATTTTAAGGGTCAACTCGATTGTATTGTTTATTTACATATTTATTTACTCATTAGGCTATCTAATACTTATACTTAACGGATAAGAGTCTTCGGGACAGGATATAAATAAAAAGGGAAGAACACTTTGTTAATTAGTAATTAGTTTTCATTAAAATTTTACTCAAGAAACTATTTGAGTTGATGGTGAACTGAAACGATTTCAAATAAGACTTAACTCCTAGTTTAAGCTGTATTTGTATTTTTCTATAAGTTTAATTTAAGTTATTGTAAATAATAACAGTATGATTAAAGTTTTACATTTATAAAAAAAAAACGATTTCAAATTAAAATTACATTTGTTTCAGGAGCCATAAAAATTACATTTCTCATCATTGTGCGAGCAATTTTAGCTCGAATTAATGTCATAAAGCAATTACAAAGTAGACATAATTTGATACAATAATTGCAAAAGTGATTAGAATAAAAGTTATATGGAATTCGACCTGGGACTACCCTGTACAATTTTTATTCCAAATTTAGTCGAAATTGTTCCGGTTATTATTTTTAAAAACGAATATGTGTGGAGTGGAGGGATTCAAAAATTACCATATTTTTTAAAAATCTACATTTAGAAAAAGAACGGACCCTGCTAGTGAAAAATTATAAATAATATTAAGCCATAATAAAATTATGCAAAATTGTAATTGCCATTGCATCCTATTTCCGGCGTCAATAAGTTGTCAGAATAGATCGATAAATTAAAAAGACTTGGGCGGACGAATTAATAATCATTAGTAACCAATCAAAAGTCGCGATTGTAATATTGTTTTCATTGATGTACTTCAGCCTCATCTTGTAAACCACCGACGGCTAAATGCTTAGCTAGAATGCATCAATCTAAAATTGACTTTGAACTTAGCTACACCCCTAAAACTCTGTGTTGCATAGACTGTCGCACAAAACTAATGAACTTCTCTAGTAAAAGGTATGCAAAGTAAAATTTGAAATCATGCTTAACAATCAATAACCTGCACTCAATTCAGTTTTCGACTACCAGCCAAGGCGATGCGAGCATTGACTGTTTTTGTGGCTTTAATTCTTCTGCTGCGCTTTTTCAACCGAAATGTAATCCCTTAGATATTATTGCAAGCAACATACCATAAATAATGAGGGTTGGAATTTTTTTTTAGAATGCAGCCAACATCATTATGACAAATGTTGTTTGTGAATCTTATAACAAATCGTGGGTCAAGATCGACGAATGTCATCTTAAGCCAATACTAGGAAACCAGACAGCTTTAACAATACGGATTTCACTTTTGTACCCCACTAACGAAGTTTGGCTTCGACTTCGATTAAAAAAGAATGCGAATGGCTACAAGCCCTGGCTGGTAGATTTTAATTTTGATGCATGCGAATTTATGAGAAAATCAACCAACAATTTTATGAAGGTGATTTTTAATGTTATCCAAGATTTTACAACAATTAATCATACCTGCCCGTATATGGTAAGTGCGGAAATTCAGTCTTTGAGATAAATATTATAACTTTCTATGTTCATTTAATAGGGCGTGCAACTGATTAAGGATTTCCATCCAGATTCGACAAAAATTCCGACTGTGCCCAAAGCAATGCCAAATGGAGACTATGTGTTGCTTTTTACATGGAACTTCTACAAAAAAACACAATTTACAACAAATGTTTATTACTCATTAAAGAATGATTAATACAAGTACATTTGTATAATTTATATTTTATTTATGCAAAATATTTATTACACGTATTGTATCCTCTTTTTATTTTGAAGCATATTAATAATATATCAAATGTAAAGTTATTTAAGAGGTTTTTTCAACGAGGGAACAGTTGTAAAGTGTGAATATTTTTAAAACCAAAACTTCAACGGCCCTTTATAGGACCGAGAAATAAATAAGAAAACCGCTGAATCTGTTTTGTACCCTAAAGAATACTTCCCTTTTAAAACAAAATTAAGGCAAAAGCCCAACTATTTCATCTTGCAAGAGAATGTTTTTAAAAATATTACTTTGTTACTCACACTGCAGATATTTAATGTAACAGCATTTTCCTCATATACTTCGTTTACCTCAAATACCGTAAATTTGAGTAAATAATTCAAGAAAAATTTCAATAACGGTTAAGTAAGGGGGTGCATCGGAAAATATCAAGCTCGGAATGCCTACATGTAAAAAATTTGTTTTCTCTAGCTCTTACAGTCCCTGAGATCTAAGTATTCATACAGGTGAATAGACGGATCGACTTGTCTTGCCATGTTGATCAAATATATATACTATATGTATATACAACGTCTACAACGCCTCTTTCTGTACTAGTACACTCTTTTACTCTTTTGGGTATAGGGTACAAAAACAATAAGGGTAAGAATTTATATTATTCATATTTAGACGTTTTAAAATATAATACATAGTAATAAAAGGCAAAATTTTTCTCATAATTTATTCGCAAATCAAAATTTTGTAGTTCACAATTAAAATACAAACATTTGAATCGAAAATAGCAAACTTGGCACCACTGGTGCAACGGGCGCCACCAATTCACTGCAGCCCTAGTTTGGCCCATAAACCACCGAAATGAATAAGTTGGCAACGCCGGAACATAAAAGTATTGATTGGGGAGAACAACATCCAGCCATTTGGAGCTGTTGCTAATACATCGACGACATAAGCGTATAGATTGGGGAGAATAGCAACAATTTGGAACTGTTGCAAAATATCAATCACGTAGCAGCACAGTATGGATGTGTTTAATAAGTTTTATTCAACGGCCGTGCACACAGTTTCCCAGCTTTCGGCGGCCCTGCCAGGAAACAATGTCACACGGGAGTACGAGGTGCTGGAATTCGTGTGCACAGCCGGTATAGGTAAGCATATTTCTACTTAAATAATTTCGAATAATCAAAAAACATGATGATGCAGGACTCATGTGGAAGGTGTACAATGGATACAAAAAGAGCACCAAACAAGAAGTGTCCGTGTTTGTGTTCGAGAAGAAAGCACTAGAACGCTGGTCCAAGGATGATCGCGAGACAATGCTGGAGACACTAAGGCGTGGTGTCCAGCAGTTAACAAAAATACGTCACCCACATGTACTTACTGTGCAGCATCCCTTGGAAGAGAGCCGTGACTCATTGGCCTTTGCGACAGAGCCAGTTTTTGCCTCACTGGCCAATGTAGTGGGCGATGCAGTCCGCTCTGAGAAAAAGCTCTACGATGTGGAAATACGACACGGTCTGCTGCAACTCTTCGATGGTCTTCAGTTTTTGCACCATGATGCGAAAATTGTGCATCGCAACATTAGTGCCGAAACGATAGTGATTAACAAGAATCGTAGTTGGAAACTATTTGGATTTGACTTCTGTATTGCCAATCAGCCAGCCACAGATGGCACACCACACTGGCCCTGTCGGGAATATAGCACATCGTTGCATGTGCTGGCGCAACCCAGTCTCGAGTATACGGCGCCAGAGCTGGCGCTTCATAGTGTAAATACGCCGGACAGTGATCTCTTCTCCCTAGGTGAGCGTATTATCTTGAAATAGAAACCACCTTACTCTTACCTCCAATCTGCAGGCGTGCTCATCTTCACCATATATTCGGGCAAACCCTTAAAGATGTTTGGCAGTGACTACAGCGGTTTCAGGCGCTATGCTACGGAATTAAATCAGCGCAAATATCCACCCATGAATGTCATACCTAACGAATTGACCGAAAGCCTGAGAGCTCTGTTACATCCCAGTGCCACATTGCGACCCAAGTTGCATGAACTGAAGCAGATTGCCTATTTTCAGGATGTTGGCGTTAAAACGCTGAGCTATCTGGACTCGCTATATCAATGGGATAATTTACAAAAGTCAAAATTCTACAAAGGTCTGCCGCAAATCATTCCAACATTGCCGCATCGTGTTAATCTGCACTCCATACTGCCGTATTTGGTAAAAGAATTCATTAATTCACCCATGATACCATTTGTGTTGCCCAACGTGCTTCTGATTGCCGAGATGAGTAGCCAACGAGAATATTGCGATCACATACTACCGCATCTGAAACCTATACTAAAGCTATCGGAACCCATACAAATACTATTAATATTCATGCAGAAAATGGATCTCTTGCTAAAGCTAACGCCGGCGGAGGAAGTAAAGCAACATGTGTTGCCATTGCTCTATCGTTCGCTGGAGTGTGATATGCCACAGATACAAGAACTCTGTCTGGCCGTGTTGCCCACATTCTCAACATTAATTGATTACAATGCGATGAAAAATGCGCTTATACCGCGCATCAAAAAGCTGTGTCTACAGAGTAGCAATGTGTCGGTGAAAGTAAATTGTCTTATATCGATTGGCAAGCTGCTGGAAAATCTAGACAAATGGCTGGTGCTTGACGAAATATTGCCATTTCTACAACAGATACAAAGCCGTGAACCGGCCATTGTCATGGCCATCATTGGTATTTACAAAATCGCAATGACAAACACTAAGTTAGGAATTACCAAAGAAGTGATGGCGCACAAATGTATACCCTTCCTAGTACCGCTGAGTGTGGAGAACGGTCTGACTATTGCACAATTTAATACGATTATTTCGCTAATCAAGGAAATGCTTGGTCGTGTGGAGCATGAGCAGCGCGAAAAACTGCAGCAACTCTCCACCATACAGCGTGATAACAAGTAATTTCTAACGTTCCCTTCTCAAATCTTAATAAATGCTTGTACCTTAAAATCTTACAGACCCAAGGATGCATCTGAAATATTGGCCAATGAACTGGAAGGCTCAACACTTTCGCCTACAAGCAGCATAGGCGGCAGCAATGGCAATAAAAGCGAAGATGATATGTTCTCTGGCTTCAGCGTAGGTCAGTCAATAGCCAGCCAAAGCACAGTCACGCCCAAGCCCACCTTGACAACCGTCAAGCCCAAGGAGCAGCTCAAGTATGTATACTCTAAGCCTTCATTTTTATGAAATGCAATAATATTGCTGTTGCCTTTTCAGAATAAGCCACACAACGACGGCCACAACAAAGCCGGACATTCTCTCATCGCTGATGCAGACCAACTTGAACAGCTTGGGTCACAATGCAATAGCCGCGGGAGCCGCGACGCCCGCAGGACCAACCTACAATGCTAGCAACAACACCAGCAATTGGCACAGCACAAATCCTTTGGTATTAAATCATCAATTGGCATCGCCGCAGCCAAGTAACAATAACTTCACGTCGCTCGATGGCTTAGATCCGTTTAAAAATAATGGTAGTCAGAATCAGGGCCAAGTTAAAACCGGTGGCAGTTCCAATGGTGCAAACATGTATACCCTACAGCAGCCAACTGTAAACTATATCTATCCAACGGGCTATAATGCCACCTCGAATAGCATGAGCAGCATGCAGCAGAGTATGAGCATGAATAAGCTAATGAGTACGGGAGCTGCAACGCCAGCATTGAAGCCACAAACCCCGGCACAGGTATCGGATAGCAAGAATTTGAATACACTATCACAACAAGACATACTAAACTTTCTTAACTAAAAGACATATAAAGGGAGAAGCGCGTGAACGAAAAGAAAGCGCATAATATAAATATCGCCAAGTAGTTAATGTTCTACACAAATATTCCGTAAACGTTACTTAATATACCTACCTACCTAAGGGCTGGGCTGAATGAAATATATATCCCCTATAAGACAAACGGACTATCTTCGAAACCAAACCGCAACTTGACCCGCGCTCAACCACTTTTGTAGGGGATTTTTTCCATTTCGGGCCCTTCCTATATACCTATACATATGTATTTATATATTAAGTATGAATGTGTTATTTGTGTGTACATGTGCGAGTATGTGTCTTTGTCCTTATCTGTATGTAACTCCTAACGGTTTTTAATTATGTAATCAACATATAGATTTTATTGCAAGCTGTTTTAACTGTTACCACTGGTAGGTTGAAATGATTTATTCCCCCAATGTATTAAGCGAATATCAAGCTATGTAATTTATTGTAGTTTAGGCCAACTTCCATTTACTCTTTACATGCTTACATATATATATTTATGTATGTATGTAAACAGATTGTGCAATTTGATCCACATTAGATAAAATATACAAAAACAATTATTAAAATATAAACAATTTGTTTAAATCATTACGAGCATTTATTTTCATTCGTTATTCCTTTTGGTTATAATTATTTAGCGATAAGTGCATTTTAAATCTAAAACAATTCAAAATGCGATTCATTTAACAATGCCTATAAATAGAGTTTGGCATTTTAGATCACTAGTTTGTCTTTGAGTTCGATATATTAGTAAAAAATGACTGAAATTAATCTCTTAGGTTTGAAACGTACTTATTACAATGTTAAATATTAAAGTTCAATTGATATTACTTGAAATATCACACGTATTACCTAAAATTATTATCTAACTTATGCAATAAGACAGACTGGACTAGAATGCCAAACTTTACTTATAAACTAATTACTTAACCAACTACAAACAAGTCAAGAATTTGCTCGACAATTCTGGCCTAAAAGCTAACTAACAACTGGGAAGGCAAAGCGTGACGCAATCTCCATGGTTCTAAGTTTCTACCAGAATGTGCGTAAACAGACTGTGCAGGCGACGCTCCACTTCCGTGAAGACCAGTGAGTTCAGACCGTCTGTATCGAAGCGCAAGGCGGCGGCATGCAAAAGAGCATTACGATTTGCATTTGGAACCTCTGGCTTGTGCTTGAGCATTGTGTATTCACTATACGCTGGCGGAAAGCGACATATATCATAGCCATGGGAGCTCAGACGCTCGTATAGGTCATCATCCTCGCCACCCCAACCATGATATAAATTTGACATGCCATTTATCATCTGAAATTGTGCCGTATTAATGGCCACCACCCCACCGAACAGACCTCGATAGGGCAGATGAAAACGCCATTGATCGAGTGCCGAACACATATGTCTGGGCCGTTCCGTGCACGCGTAGATCTGACCGGAGTTCAAAGGCATCAAATCCACGTCGTGCAATATCAGGCACGGGAAATCATACTCAGCCGCCACTTGCGCCCCAATGTTGAAGAGAGTGGCACGATTGAAGGGCTTCCGATCGTACTGCTCCACAAGAAAAATTCGATAATGAATTAATTGCTGGCGCAGATAGTTGTGCATGTAGGTAAGAAAGGCATGAAGCTGCTCCTCTCGCTGCCTATACGGCACTATAATGGCTGTGCTGTACCTGGCACGACAATGTTCCGGCTGATACTCTCCACCAGGTTGAATCTGCTCGCTATGAAGCAGTCGCTCGCGAAAATGTGCATCGTACACAAAACGACTGCCTATGATCAGTTCCTCATAACTACAGTCGAACCCCTGCTGGTGAGTCACATTAGGTGTGACCTGGGGCAACAGCATACGCTCTATATCATCGTCAGGTATGTAGTCGTAGTGCGAAGCGAAGCGATAAGGCAGCACCAAGTATATAAAAAGAGTAATGCATCCGCCAAGCAAGAGTAGCTCATAGATGTGAAAGCTTCTTGAGCCAATTTTAATTACTATCATCTTTCGCGGGAAGTTTCTTAAACAGAACACAATTAATATATTTCTACATCGCCGGCGCTCCTTTGATATTGTGTAATTGAATTGGACAGCAATCCATTGCGGATTTGTTGATTAGCAACAATAACAGCTGTGTATGAACCACAAGCACCGATTAATCGAAATAGCAGTTATCTATCGATGTTGTGTATTTTGATTTGTTTGCCGACAAGAAGGAAAAATATACTAGAAACTTTCACAATAAGTTAAAATATGGAAATATCTAACGAGAAACAAAATAAGAATATAATTATTCTTACAAATACATGATATACGTATTTTATAAATCGAATGGACCAGGGCTGTGCAATCACACAACACTGGGTGGAAAATTACCTCAATTGTTATTGAATATGTTAATTAATAAATTTTATAAAATAAAAAACTTTAATTTTTGTAGTCTGAAACTTTTTTTTTCTAATCATTATACATTTTTTTGTAGTAATGCCATATCTTGCTCTTGTCGCTCGTCGGCTGTCAAGTGAACGAGTCGTAAACCTCTGCGTGGTACCTCGCCTTCTCACACTCTCTTTATTTATATTAATAAACAAGATGTGGGACGAACTTAGATTATGTGTTTTTGTAACGGTCTTTTCTAGTTGCTTTTTTATATTCCTAACTGCCAATGAACAGCAACGTTCGTACTATGTAAACACAAAAGAAAATTATAATTACAATTAAAAGCTTGCAACTATTTGCAGCAAAACCGTTCGTTGAAAACCATCTGCCCGGATGGTTCCATCTGCACGCTTATAGGGAGCACGGAGTATTGCCCAAACCGAAAAGTTTACAGTAGAAACCATGATCTGTTATTTATTCAAAAAATAATATGATACATATGAAACAAAAAACTAAAACTAAAAATCTAATGTAACGGTAATATACTAACTAATTTTAAACTTGAGAAAATACTGCCCATTTCATTTAATTAAAGTAGTGGCACCACTTTTTAGTGCAACCGAAAGGTTATTTACCTATCGATAGATCCTGAAGCTCTAGCCGGCACGCATACAAAGCAGAACAGTGGGTGGTGTTTTTATACCCTGTACCCGTAGGGTAAAAAGGGTATATTAGGTCTGTGCAAAGTATGTAACATACAGAAGGAAGCATCTCCGACCCCATAAAGTATATATATTCTTGATCAGCATGACGAGAGAAATCGATCTAGACATGTCCGTCCGTCTGTCCGTCCGGAATAACCAAAGTTGGCATCCAGATTCTCCTAGTTCCGAGTAAGGACGAGTTTATTTTATTTTTTTTTTAATTTTCCCCCCCCCTTCCCCCGCTACAGAATTTCGTCAATAGCGTCCACATTTCAAATACTACCTAAACCAAACTTTGCACACATAATTTATATATAATTGTCTATTGTTGTTCAAAATTCAATTCGGTCAATTTTAAGAAAAGTTATTAGCAAAACAAATTCTCGCCAGTACAACCCCCCCAAACTGCAGCAACAAGTTCGCTCTTCTTCTTCCTCTTTTTGCTGCTGCTATGGGCGCATATAACTCAGTGACGGAAGTTTACCTGGGTACAGTGTATTACACTGTCGGGCTTGCTCGACTGTAGCGTTCTCTCTTGTTATACCCTGATACCATGATAAATCATCGCAAAAAAACCCAAACTCGTACTTTCTCGGACCTAGGATAACACACCAAGTTTGGATGTTCTAGCTCTCATACTTTCTGAGATCCTTGCATTCATACAGACAGACAGGCGGACATGGCTATATCGACTCATCTTGTCATCCTGATCAAGAATACTTTGCGGGATCTGCCACGCCCCTTCTGTCTGTTGCATACATTCTCACAAAACTACTCAACTTTTTTCTAACTTATATGAGTATTTTTTGTAGTAATGGTCCATAAGAAAATGCTATACTATGAATGTTACAAGAAATTACAACTGACGATAGTGGATAATAGGTCGGCCCCCATTCTCCCCAACTGCTGCCATATCTCGAACCTCGGAACGCGCACAGCAGTCGCTCGCCGACTGTCAAGTTAACGAGTCGTAAACCTCTGGTGGTACCTCGCATTCTCACATATTTAAATTAATATTATTTAAACTAATAAACAAGATGTGCGAGGCACTTAAATTATCCGTATACATAACGGTCTTTTGTAGTTGCTTTTTATTGCTGAGTGGCAATGACCAATTCCGTTCGTACTATGGAATCACAAAAGAAAATGTTAATTATAATTAAAAATTTACAACTGTTTGCAGTAAAGGCCTGTTCCTGCCCTGTTGATTCCAACTGCACACTCATCGGGAGCAGGGTGTACTGTCTACAGCGAAAAGTTTACAATAGAAACAATGATAAGTTCCCACGCACATCCCTTAAGGCAGAGGACTGGAATGTTACATTAATTTATGTATTTTTTGGAATTATTATGGGTATTCTAGTATTGTATTTCCTTGTGCTGCTGCGGCCTGTACAACGTCTCAAAGGTGTGTGTCGCCGCATAAAGCTTGGACATAATAAACGAAAGAGCCTGGAATTTGAGGAAATAGACTTGACTTTTCGCGATGTAAAAATGGCAGAAAAGGTGGCGGATCTTGAAAACAATGAAGTATTAATAAAGATATAATATAAAACATACTTATGAAACATAAAACTGTGTAAAATAAGCTTTATAATCATTTAAATTCAACTGCAACGGAAAATTCTATTTCGTTTAAAACTTGAGAAAATGCTGCCCATTTTATTCAATTGAGGGACTGGCAGCACTTTTTAGTTAAACCCAAAGTATATTAACCTATCGATAGATTGTGCAGCTCTAGCCGGCACGCATGCCAAGCAAAACAGTGGATTGAGTTTTTTGTTAATAACAAATGCAAAGGTAGCCGATATGACTTCAATCATTAAGTTGCACACCATATCAGGTGCAATGGATGAGTCGCCACCCTGTTATATACTACAAATTGACGATGTGCGCATTCTGCTCGACTGCGGCTGGGATGAAAAATTTGATACCAACTTCATAAAAGAGCTTAAAAGGTAAAAGTGGGTTTTCTGTATATACGTATTTTAAAATATTATATTCCCTTCCCCACAGGCAAGTGCACACGCTAGATGCCGTGCTGCTCTCCCATCCGGATGCCTATCACCTGGGCGCGCTTCCGTACCTCGTGGGAAAGCTGGGTCTTAACTGTCCCATCTATGCCACAATTCCTGTTTTTAAAATGGGCCAAATGTTCATGTACGATCTCTACATGTCTCATTTTAATATGTATGAATTTGACTTATTTTCATTGGACGATGTGGACGCGGCTTTTGACAAAATAACACAGCTGAAATACAATCAAACAGTCTCGCTTAAAGGCAAGGGCTACGGCATTTCCATTACGCCTCTAAATGCTGGACACATGATAGGCGGAACCATTTGGAAAATTGTCAAGGTGGGCGAAGAGGACATTGTATATGCCACCGATTTTAATCACAAAAAGGAGCGTCATTTGAGCGGCTGTGAATTAGAGAGGCTGCAGCGTCCCTCACTTTTAATTACTGACGCGTATAACGCACAATATCAGCAGGCTCGTCGACGCGCACGTGATGAGAAACTGATGACCAATATCTTACAAACTGTCCGAAACAATGGTAACGTCCTTATCGCTGTGGATACGGCGGGCCGGGTACTTGAGCTTGCACATATGCTTGATCAGCTGTGGAAGAACAAGGAATCAGGCTTAATGGCTTATTCGCTAGCATTGCTAAATAATGTTTGCTACAATGTCATCGAATTCTCGAAGTCACAAATTGAATGGATGACGGATAAGCTGACGAAGGCATTCGAGGGTGCGCGCAACAATCCCTTCCAATTCAAACATATTCAACTGTGCCACACGCTGGCCGATATCTACAAGCTACCTGTCGGTCCCAAGGTTGTCCTGGCCAGCACGCCAGATTTAGAGAGTGGATTCTCACGTGAACTGTTCTTACAGTGGGCTAGTAATCCAAATAACAGCATAATTTTTACCACGCGGACCGGTCCAGGCACCTTGGCCATGGAACTAACCGAAAACACTACTCCGGGCAGACAAATTGAATTGGACATACGTAGGCGTGTTGAACTAGAGGGCGCGGAACTGGATGAGTACTTACGCACACAGGGCGAAAAACTAAATCCCCTAATTGTGAAACAGGACATCGAGGAGGAGAGCAGTTCCGATTCCGACGACGACATTGAAATGAGTATTATAACAGGAAAGCACGACATTGTAGTGCGTCCCGAGGGTAGACATCATTCAGGCTTTTTCAAGTCGAATAAACGGCACCACGTCATGTTCCCTTTCCACGAGGAGAAAATCAAGTTCGACGAATATGGTGAGATCATTAATCTGGATGATTATCGTATAGCAGACGTCGGCAACTATGATTACATGGTACCAGAGGAACAGAACAAGGAGAACGTGAAGAAGGAGGAGCCGTGCGTAGAGCAAAAGACTAATGGTCAAATGGACACCGATGTGCAGCTCCTGGAGAAGCCCACCAAACTCATTAGCCAACGCAAAACAATCGAGGTCAATGCTCAAATACAGCGCATAGACTTTGAAGGACGATCCGATGGTGAATCTATGCTAAAGATTCTCTCGCAGCTGCGACCGCGTCGCGTCATCGTCGTCCATGGCACAGCCGAGGGCACACAACTGGTGGCCAAACACTGCGAGCAAAATGTGGGTGCACGCGTGTTTGCGCCCCAGAAAGGTGAAATCATTGATGTAACCACCGAGACACATATTTATCAGGTGCGTTTGACCGAAGGTCTCGTCTCCAAGCTACAGTTCCAAAAGGGCAAAGATGCCGAGGTGGCCTGGGTTGATGGACGATTGGGAATGCGTTTGCAAGCAATTGATGCGCCCAATGCCCCAGAAGTGACCGCAGAGCAGGATCCTTCCACCCAAGAGGGCAAAACGTTGACGCTCGAAACACTTGAAGAGGATGAAATTCCTGTCCACAATTCGGTGCTCATCAATGAGCTAAAATTATCCGATTTTAGACAAGTACTGATGCGCAACAACATCAACTCGGAATTCTCTGGTGGTGTCCTTTGGTGCTGCAATGGAACATTGGCTTTGCGACGCGTCGACGCCGGCAAAGTGGCGATGGAGGGTTGTTTGTCTGACGATTACTACAAAATACGTGAATTGCTTTACGAGCAATATGCGATTGTTTAAGATTTTATGAAACTTTCGCTTAGTGTTAAAAATATAATTTAAAAATAAAATACTTCTTTATTTTACCTATGCCTTGGATTTTAAAGTTTAGAAAAACAACTCCAGAAGAATTTTCCTTGCCTTCGACTATGAAACTCAAGCGAAAGTCTATAATTCCAGCACATTATTTTAAAATAGACCGGACAAACCAATTCGTTTAACACAATATTTATATAAAAAGTTAATGAATTAAAATGGTTGTATAATACTTGGATGTTAAAGATTTGTATAGTTTTAATCATAAACGGGTATAATGTAATTTTTGTTTATCTAAATCATTTAAAACGAATTTTTTTTACATAAATTGCAACATCGGATCTTCCGTGCGTGTGCGCTTCTTCTTCCACTCTTCGATTTCATCCTCGGTAGGAGCTTTCACATCATACATACTGTTGTAAGGACGCTTGCGATCGTCCAATTCCTCTGCCGGTCCCTTTTTATTTTTATGGCCCTCCTCGCTTGTTTCTGCTTTGGATGATTCCTTGTGTTTATTTTTCCTTTTGCGCTCTTCCCTTGCCTTTTTTTTCTTATCGCGCTTCTTGGATTTCTTCTTGGACTTGGTTACAACCTCCGGTTCATCGCCCTCTGATGAGGAATCAGAGCTAGGTGCAGAACCAACCTCGGACGTGGGTTTTTCGATCTCTTCGACAACTTGCAGTCTTGATTGCGCTTCCGTTGAGGTAGATGCGCCTCCATGTTGCTGTTCCGCATAGCCTTCTGGCTCCTGCATACCCACGCAGTAGGAATTTTTAATAAAGGACTTGCAACATTTGTAGCCCCAACGACCAGCATTCCAAAAACTTCCCCACACAGTAGTATGATTATTGATGTAAACATCTTCTTCGTAAATGCTGCGAGCCTTAGGCTTCTCCATGCCTTTAATGACCTTGCCGCTGCGTGAGTATTCGATATACTCCTCGGTCTGAGCCAGCAGCAAAGATTTGGGCGGCACCTGCAAATGCTCCTCGCCACCATATTTCTCCACAATATGAGTTTTGGTCTGCAAGATTAATTTTCGAATTAGTTTGAGTTGCAAAAATTCTTATAAAGCACTTACACTTGATTTAAACTGTTCCTTTTTTTGCTCATACTCCTTCTGCAGCAATTCCAGTTTCGTGGGCTCGGCTAGGAGATGCACATCGACGCCTTTGCCATGCGCCTCCCAAGCGAAAAGCTGTGCCGTAGCCTGTGCTGTAGTATCGCCAGAAAAGCGTACAAAATTCTCACCAGCAAATTCCGCCCTAGAAAGGAAATCAGCACGTTAGCTTAAGCCATTTTTTAATGTGTTGTTACTTACTCCTCTGCTGGTACTTGCGGATTAGGATTGTCACGCATGGAACGAGTTTTTGGATCATAGTAGGCAGAATTGGGATCCAAATTCCTCAAATATTTGGCGGTATCCTCACGAATACGCAAATTTCGTACCGTAATGCGTTGTTTGGAATCGACTTTAGTACCAGGCATGTCCACCTCATCGACGTATTTGTCCTCATTGCCCTCCTCATCAGAGATTTCAGCGTCAGGATCTGAAAATAATTCATGCATATACATATAGCCTGTAACTTATGGCAATGCGCACGACCTGTACTTACCATTCTTCAGTTTTTCAGCCTTCAATTGACGTTTTGTTTCCTCCACCTTCTCATACTCCTCGATAATTTCCCGATGATTGGCCGGATCGTAGGAGCTCCAGCGATCGCGCTTCTCATCGTAATTAACAGCGGCCTCGTTCACAATGTGCTCATCATGCACCACTATAGATTCAGCGTACTTAGCCTGCACTTTGCGCGGACGTTCTAGACAATCCTTTTTCTTGTGTGTCATCGCACCGCAATTTTCACATGCACCCTTACGAAATTTGGTTACCAGTTTAGTGGTGTCCAAGCCCTTGGGTGGCCGCTTTTCCAACTGTCCACGCTCATCTTCGTGCTGTGGACGTTGATGTTTTAGTGTTGGCCCCTGGGAGCCATAGTACCAGGGCGCATTTGAGATGTACTGTGGTATATGTGGATTGATGTCTCGACCCTCTTCGTCGACGGCGGCTGGCGCTGTACCAGCTTTTCGCGCTTCTTCCAACTCCTTTGCCTTACGCCAGTCCTCACGAGATTTTTTCTTAGGTTCATCGTCATTATCTTGCTCATCTTTGCTATGGATGATTTGCGAAACGGGCGTCCGAACTACCCCCGAACTCATGGTTACAATTGTTTACTAATGAAATAGTGCAGAGATTAGTGTGGCCAAATTCTTCGATAACAGCCTGCTATCGTTAGACAGGGCTGCACTACAAAATTGTGCCTGCGCTGTCAACGCATGTTTCTCTTTGTGCCTCATTTCGCTTTTGGCTAGTGTGGGCATTCACTGCTGTAACTTTACATTTTTCCAGGAAGAATCGTGCAAATTTTTATCAAATTAATGCAATTTAACAAATCTAATAAAATTCAAACTAAACTCAAATGCCAGCCTATTGAAAGTGGAAGTGAAAATCAACTAAAACAGTACCTATGCATGATTAACAAATTCTTACTCGTATAGTGAAAAAAATCTGCATGCAAGAAAAAAATTTGTGAGAGAGCAAGCAGTACATAATTGCCAAAGCAAACGAGCGAGCGAGAAAATCGAGAAAAATTATTTTCCTCGAGTCCGCGAGATGCGATTTTAATATACAAACATGTTGGAGTTTTTGTGATGCAAAAGATAAAACCAAATTCCTTTAAATAATAATTAATAATTGGAATTGTGCAAATAGAGTGTTTGTGTGTACGCTTATGCGTATGCTTGTGTAAGTGCGCGTGTTCTAGTGCAAAGGCATCCTTAATTTTTTTTCGCACACATCTGAACATTTTTTCTCTAATATACCAACAATACAGAGCGCGTGTAGCGACGCGAAGAGAAAAGCACAATCGCACGGGCAAAGGTAAGTAGTTGAGGTGTAATGTATTGTAATGGCTAAGAAGAATTTTGTGTTGTCGCTGCGCGCTCTTTTTTTGAGCGTCTTTTGTGCTCTCTCTTTACACAGCTGGCTAGCGTATTTGGGTCAATATGTAAAACTGCAACCCCGCCGTTCCAGTTATCCCAATTGGGCACTTGCAACCAGTTATTTAGTACAAAATTTAAATACTACGCAGTGTATTTTGTACTTAGTGAATTTAATAAAACAGACAACATTAAGTAGAGTAACTAGAATTGAAATGGCAGTGATAAAAAATGGACCTGTGATAGTTTTGAAGACCTCAGGGATCCTAATTCTGCGCTAGTTACTGTCTGTTCAGAACTCTCCGCTCTCGCAGTATTTGAAAGTACGCTCTCTCGCTGCTTCTCACTCCCACACACTCACACAATGATTTCGTTCGTTTTCACCAATTACAAAAATACACATTTTCCAAGTGGATTTGTAAATTTAACGGTAATTCTAAATTAACGCACTTGTCGCAATTGTTAAATTGTTAAATTTGTACAAAAGAATTTGTGCAATTTACTAGACAAGTCTGTGAGAGCAAAGCAGCAGCATGTGCATGTTTTTCGTTAATATGTATTGTTTGCGCTACTGGACTAGCTGGCGTCCGTGTATTTGTGTGTGCTTGTTGGGTTATTGATGCTGTTTGTGGGTGTGTGGACGTGGGCATGGGATGGAGAGTAGACGGACCAGGCATTAGGATTGCTTGTTATTCTTTCTTTGTTGTTTTATTTGTGAAAAATAGCTGCTGATGTATATTTTGTATGCATACATATATGCCTGTGTGCACATTGAAGGTGGTAATACATAAAAGAAAGTAGTTGCACTCAATGTATAACACAGATATTTGTCAATAACAACAACATCTATGATAGACAGAGCCACCACTCGAATAATAGTGTTCCTGAAACTCAATTCATGTACAAAATCCTATCTTTTTTGTGACATACAGTCTGTCAACTAATTGTTTGCAAAATGAAATTTGTCACCAAATTTCAACTTTAACATTAAATTTATAAATAATGGCATTATTTGGGAATATTTTGCTTATCAATTATTATTAAGATATGTATTAGCTATCGGTATGTCAAAAAAAAGAGACGAATTTCCATGTAAAACGTAAAAGAAACGAAGAAAACTAAACAACGACATTTACGACACTGTCAATTAATTGTTTGCAAAATGCAAACACTGGTTGAAAGAAGACCATAGAAAAAGTAACAGGACGGCCAAAACGAAAAGGACCGATCGCATTTTTTTTACTAGTATTCCTTCCACTAATTCCTTGTAAAATTTGCTTCAGTTTGGTAACGTATCTGTCACTTTGACCATTTTTGCAAACGCACTTATGACAATTTGATACAGCTAGTGTTTTTCCATTATAGCAACGGGAAAACAGCCAAACAGTTGGCCAAAACATATCGAATTAAACTTAGAACAGTCTATAATATCATTAACCGCGCCGAAAAAGAGAATTAAACAGCTATCAAGGCAGATTTCCATAGCTTTCTCGGCAGGATTGCTCACAAATTTTAAAAAGCATTGAAAATAAACCGCAAACGAGCCTCAGGGAGTTGGCCAATAATATTTACAATGACTGCAAGAAGTCCGTGTGCCATAAAACCATCAAATATGCGCAGCTCTCCAATGCCTTTGGATGAAATACAGCCCCAAACCATAAATACAGTTTGCCGAATTTTGCTGTAGGCACTATGTTTTTGGTCTGGAGGGCTGTATTTGGTTTCTGCTAAACTTTGCTGGGTCCATCATGATAATACAACATGATCTTGGTCTTGTCACAAAAAATGACGTCATTCCAATACTCCTGAGATTGGTTCGCATTAAATATTGCTAAATTCAAACGCTTTTCAATGTTCGCAGCAGACAGGAATTGCTTCTTCCTTGCTACATGTGATGAGTACTTGTGGCGATTGAGTACTTTTCTGATGGTTTTATGGCACACGGACTTCTTGCAGTCATTGTAAATATTATTGGCCAACTCCCTGAGGCTCGTTTGCGGTTTATTTTCAATGCTTTTTAAAATTTGTGAGCAATCCTGCCGAGAAAGCTATGGAAATCTGCCTTGATAGCTGTTTAATTCTCTTTTTCGGCGCGGTTAATGATATTATAGACTGTTCTAAGTTTAATTCGATATGTTTTGGCCAACTGTTTGGCTGTTTTCCCGTTGCTATAATGGAAAAACACTAGCTGTATCAAATTGTCATAAGTGTGTTTGCAAAAATGGTCAAAGTGACAGATACGTTACCAAACTGAAGCAAATTTTACAAGGAATTAGTGGAAGGAATACTAGTAAAAAAAATGCGATCGGTCCTTTTCGTTTTGGCCGTCCTGTTACTTTTTCTATGGTCTTCTTTCAACCAGTGTTTGCATTTTGCAAACAATTAATTGACAGTGTCGTAAATGTCGTTGTTTTGTTTTCTTCGTTTCTTTTACGTTTTACATGGAAATTCGTCTCTTTTTTTGACATACCCATAGCTAATACATATCTTAATAATAATTGATAAGCAAAATATTCCCAAATAATGCCATTATTTATAAATTTAATGTTAAAGTTGAAATTTGGTGACAAATTTCATTTTGCAAACAATTAGTTGACAGACTGTATGTATGTATAACCTCAAATGCTGGCTAAATGTTTGTCGCTTGAGTTACATACGAATATTTTCTATAAATATCCATTTTGCTATAAAATGTTTACAATCAAATTTCAACACATAGAAACACGAATTGAAACCAATAAAACACAGCAGATTCTTGGAATAGATATTGCAATGACCTACAATAACAACAATCTGTAACTCTAGCTCATAAAATGCAATGTATTTAATGCATATTCTAAATGTGAATAAGCCCAACCCAAATTTCAAGGATTTCTTTCTAAACTTTCTTAGAAACATATTTCTGGACGCTTCCAGTACAAGGACAATTATAAAATTGAAACTATAATTGTTAATTTGACAACTTTACCGATGTAATTTTGTTCTATAGATTTGGTAACTATATCAATATTTTCTGAACCCATCTCTGATGGAAGCAGAGGTTAATCGATCTTTTCTACCAGACACGTTTTATATTTTTAAATTTATAATTTGTTTTATTTTTTATTATGATGACGCTATTTTGAATATTTTCGTAAATAGACAATTGTTACTCACATGAATAGGGAACTGCAGAATTCCACGAATTATTATTAATTCTCTGTCATTTATATTTGTTAGCAACGCTATTTTGGACCTCAGCATCTCATTATAAATACTTCTCTGTTATCTATTTGAGTGGCAGCCTGCTGCTAACTAATCTACAACTATTAGAATGTTATAGTCAGTCAGTTGTTTGTCCGCTTTGTAGTACTTGGTTGTATACTCGTCTTAGTGGGATGGCATGATGTCCACCCCGTATTGCTATTTACATAATTGTTAATTTTTAAGATATTTTAATTTTTTTTAAGATTTAGTTTGTGTTGCTGGTTCGAGGTCATGGTTGCTTTATCATTTTGATAACAAACTAGAGCAAAACAAAGTGCACGATAACTAATATAGCTAATATTTCAGGAAGCTCCTACTCATTCCTTTTCAGCGGGCTTAGAGATCCTGCCTTACAATTCTAGTCATATCTAAACTGCTTGACAATTATATAGTTATCGCAATTTGTGTGTCTTGTTGTCACTACCATAATTGCAAATATGTTCAAAAATAGTGAACTCCGAATTTAAACCTAAACTCATACAGCATAAAGAGTTCACTTAATATTCTGTTTATTTCCTTTATGGACTCCTAAACTGCAAGTCAAGATGAACTACATATACTTTAAACACAAGTGTGTTTTGGTTGTGGGAAATTAAATCCGCAAGTGGTGTTAAATCGCGGTCAATATTTATATGAAGGCATGAAAATAAAGCTCTGTTAGCTAGAAAACCACTGTGTAGCATTACCTTTCTGCCTGTTTGTAAACATTTGTAACTTCTACTTTGGTGAGGCTTTTGATTTACTTGGATAGCTTCATTTTTTTCAATTATGCTCATTTCATTCAATAAATAATATAATTTCGCTAGATAAATAATACAATGTGTTTTCGAGCCTTTATTCGCGCTTCCCATCAAAGCTGAGGCGAATGTTTTTAGTAAATTTTTAAGCGTTGAGCGTAAATTTTTAAGCGTTCTGCACTTCTCATACTTGGAGCCTTAGCAGAGCATGCATTGCAATTACTTCTTGTAAAGTGTCCATCCCCTTGCCTTGTGATCATAAGCTGGGTTTCATGACATTTAATCTTTATCTTATCTTTATACTCTAACTTATACGACTACTTTACTCTTACTCTGTAGCACAATTCCTAAACTCAGCGCCAATCCCTCATTTATACTCGTGGGACGGGCGTTTTAACCACCAAGTGGTATCATTTTGTAACCACCGTTTTCGCTGCTGGCATAGCTGGCTTATTTAAATCAACACACAGCGTGGCCAAGGAGATAGACCACCATTCACCGCATCAAATCGCACAAAGTTAAGGGAATATCGACGCCAAGGATACTGGTACAAGAGTAGAAAAATGTTCACGGGCAAATTGCAGATCAAAGTGTGTGAGGCGAGTGGATTACGTCCAACAGATTTCCAAAAGCGTCATAATCTAACATTTGGCAAACTCGCCGATGAGCAACTAATCGATCCCTACGTCTCTATAGATGTCGACGATTGTCATTTTGGTAAGCGAAAACACTTTACTTATTTATACAAAATGCAGTGCTACTAAAGTTTGTGACATTACCAGATCGATCGACCACACGACCAAAAACATTCGATCCTGTTTGGAACGAGCAATTCGTACACGATGTGACCAATTCGCGTAACATTAACTTGACCGTATTTCATGATGCGGCACTGCCGCCAGATGATTTTGTGGCCAATTGCATAATACCATTTGAAGATCTGATGCAGAGTGATACGAGTGTGCAAGATCTCTGGGTGAGTAGCATTTAAATATCTCTTTTTAATGCGCTGTACTTAACAATGTTTTCTATTTTGGCAGATTAATCTGGAACCGCAGGGAAAAATTCATGTCATAATAGAGCTAAAGAACCGCAATGGTAAGGACTATACACACATACTCTTATGTAAAAAAAAAAATTATACAAATATTGTTATTTGTATTAGATCAAGCCAAAGCCGACGCTGAGGTTGAACATGCCGTGGCCACCAACAAAGAGTTCAAAGAGCGCGCTGGCTTCAATCGTCGTCGCGGTGCGATGCGTCGTCGGGTACATCAGGTATATACAATTTATACAGGGGTGAAGGAAAAATTTTATGAGGAAGTTATAGAAAGTGCAAAAATAGTGTTGGAGTGGGGGTTCATCAGGAATACGAATACCTTATATTTATAAGTATACCAAGTTTGTGTCGTGTAGCTCTTATACCTGATGATATTCTTGCGTTCATACAGACGAACATGAACATTGCACCGTCATACCTATTTTTGAGAACTACTCAAAACTTATTGATCTTTACTTTTATCGAATATCGTATTGTAAAATTTATTAGAACAGTGTGTTTACGAAAATAATCAATTTTTTTTGTTAGAAAAATGACAGATTTCGCTAAATTTGCTCTTAAAATAATTTCTCTTTGCATTTTTTGTATCATAAGGTGTTTCGTACCACCCCTAATAGAGTGTATATTGATAAGAAAGTTAACTCTTGAATTTACTCCCACTTTTTAGGTCAATGGGCACAAGTTTATGGCCACCTTCTTGCGCCAGCCCACCTTCTGTTCACATTGTCGCGAATTTATTTGGTAAGTGAGGCCCAGAATTCGCACTTATAGCACACATTTCTCGTAACTTACGCACAGCCAAGCTGTCATCTATGGTACATTATTAAGTTGTATTTGATTTTATGCAGTAATTAATAAAAATTCTTTTGGGGATCAATTCAATTTAAACATACAATCAAACACACAAACAAATACACTACAGCATTTGCATTAATTCTCTACTGGACTCCTTATGATTTGATATAATTTGTACACGCATTCCTATTTATTTCTATGTTAAATTTATGTTTGGTAACTATACATGTATATCATCAGTTTTTTGGGTAAATCTCTACAGTATTCTTAACTACTACTATGTATTTAGTTTGTTTTAATTTTTATCTTAGTCATTTATGTTTCTCTCTACACACATCACGTGCGATCCAGTAATTGGGTCTCATTGAAGGCTATCCTGGCCAGCGGCGCATGACATTGACATCATTTTCCACATCGAACTGGTTCTGTTTTTCATGGTCTCTTACATAAACACACATAAAATAAACCATTACTATAAATATATTGCTTGATTTTCCGTTTCGAGCTTCGGTTTTTTCATACTTTTGGCATCAATATCTTCAATTGTACCTGAAATACAAATCATACCCATATAAAAAAGACACAGGCACACAACACATCCATCCATACATAACATCCATACCTTTACCAATCATGCTCAGTTAAAATATAAATACATACAATAGCTACGGAATTTCTTGCCTTTTTGCAGGGGAATTGGTAAACAAGGCTATCAATGTCAAGGTATGTGTTTTGCTTAAAATTAACTTAGGAGCCTCTCTGGCAGAGTCATCATCAGGACTCTGTGGGGAGCTTAAAACTAAAAAGCTGTCACTTTTGCTCGTTCGTTGTTTGTTGTTCAAGATCCAAGATACAAAGCATTTGTCATAGTCCTCCGCATAGCTGCATAATATATCTATCTAAATTTATTTATCATTTTTGCATACGATTTTTTTACTTTTCCTTTCTTTGATATACTTGTATGCTGATATTTTCTGGTCCCGCTGCCGCTGCTTTCTGCATTGTTTATGCACCCCAAACCAAACATCGCACCGACCATTTAATTAATTAATTTGTTGTTAACAATTTCAATTCTATACTGTATGCACAAAAATGTCTAGTCGTCTCACTAATTATACCTATTGTCTTATGTCGTTTGTTGCATTGCATTTCATTTTGATAGCGCATTTCATCCATTTAATGATTGTAGTCATTTAAAAAGATATACATACATGTTTGTGTTTTTTCTACATTTAATTTTAATATAATAGTTTATACAAGTACAGCTAGCTGACAAATTTCTATTTATTATCAATATTATATCAACTATTGACGACCAGAAAAAACAATTTTTTTAAAAACAATGAAATTGTTAAAAAACTGACTAGTTTTTAAAAAATATTAAAAAAAAAACCCTGAATTTGGAAATTAATTAAATTATAACAAAGAACATAAATAGAACTCATTTCCATGAGAATATAAAGTTCTACAGTTTTAATGAAAGTGAACTAGCAACGATTGTTATAAAGAAAGTCGGTGCTTCACCTTTCATATGCATTTGATTTTAATCAATCAGCCCAGACAGGCTTATGTATATTTATATTTCTTAAGTCTAGCATCCAGGTTCTGTTTGGAATATGAAGTTCTTTTTACATCCGTTTTTGTTTTGTGTTAAAAAACTAATTAGATTAAAAATGTGTTTCTAGCTACATTTTTAAATCATTTCTTAAGTACTCATTTGCCAGTCAGTGCCAAATCATAATATTTACCCCAGTGCCTGTTTATTTGGTTACTAAAGTATTGATTTCATAAATTAAGACACTCATCGTTTTTGATTGTTCCCTCGGAATCTATTATGTACACGCAAAATGGCTCATCCATATTAACAATTGGTGCTAATTAAAGTAAATTTCTAAACAGTACACTGTTTGGCATATCAGTATTAAGATTTTCAAAATAAGCACGATTATGAGTCAATGGACTACAAATAGACCTTTACCTTTATAGTAGATACTGATACTGCTATAATTCCATAAAACAAAAATGTGTTGTTCATTCTATATACGAGTATATGTCTTGATTATCAGATTACAGTGCACGCTACACATACTACATACCCACCCATGAATGTTGTGCTTAGAGTAGTTCTAGTTAATAGGCATAATACACTTTGCAAAACACAACAAAAACAACATTACTTGGACACTGATTATATCACAAGTCTAACACAAGTGTCATCCAAACTAAAATCCTTGTATGTGAGAAAATGCCTGTGTTTATTGAGTTAACTAACTCATCAAAGTTTATGTTTAACTCTGGATGTTTATACATATATATAAAATGTACACATAGTTTATGACTCTGTAAATATATTCAAATAATGCACAATATTGTTTTAAGTAAATAAAAATAACTTGAATCTGGAAAGTAATCTGCACCCTGAAAAGCAAAAATGATCACAAAAGAGGTCAAAATTATAGTTTGGCTCATCAGTTATAAATTCAGGAACAATTCTTTGAACTCAAATTTAATCAACATTGGTTTTTTGAAGTGTACTCAAATATTACACCAAGATCTAAATCGTTGATCCGACATTCTTTCGGCATGTCAGGGTGCTGGATACATTTCCACAACCAGTAACAGTTTAATTAAAATTTATGAACTAATTTTTTAAATTACAATTTACTCGTTTTTAGTGTGCACTTTGGTTGTACATAAAAAATGCCATTTGTCTGTGGTCTCCAAATGTCCCGGCATGCGAGATGAGGTGAGTAACTGCATTGATTTCATGAACTGTAGTTCCGATCACTGACACAGTATGTATTCACAGCAAGTAAAAGTGGAAGTGGTACCGGCTGGGCAGCGTTTCAATGTAAATGTACCGCACCGCTTTGTGGTGCACAGTTACAAGCGGTTCACGTTTTGCGACCACTGCGGCTCGCTGCTGTATGGCCTCATTAAGCAGGGCCTCCAGTGCGAAACATGCTACATGAACGTGCACAAACGTTGTCAGAAGAATGTGGCCAATACGTGTGGCATCAATACCAAACAGATGGCCGAGATCCTCAGTTCGTTGGGCATATCGCCAGACAAGCAGGGCCAGCCTCGTCGCTCTAAATACTTGAATCAGCCGGGTGGTGAGGATAACTATGGCGCATCGCTGGGCGGCGATGGAGATAGTGCGTCGGGTGCATCCTTTCGCAATTCTACGCTACCTGCCGACCAGGCTGCATCCACCACTACCCTGACCAGCGGGTACAACAGCAGCAGTTGCATGAGCATTGCCGTCGGTGGTGATGCCCGTCCTGGCAAGTCGTCGCTGCTCGATTTCAATTTTATTAAGGTGCTGGGCAAGGGCTCCTTCGGTAAAGTGATGCTGGCGGAGAAGAAGGGCACCGAGGAGATATATGCCATTAAAGTGTTGAAGAAGGATGCCATTATACAGGACGACGATGTGGACTGCACCATGACGGAGAAACGCATTCTGGCCCTTGCTGCCAATCATCCGTTCTTGACGGCGCTACATTCCTGTTTTCAGACTCCGGTACGTATGCGTTCTATGCTTAATACTTCATAAACGTGCGATATTTATTATGCGATACTCCTTATTATCAAATGTTTTTAAAGTCTTCACTTTAAATTGTTCTGTCCGAATATTTTCAATATTTTTGTATTCGAACATTTTTGATTTTGATTTTTTTCTGTTTTGAACTGCAACTTATTCTGTTTTACACGGTAGATGGTTCCAGAAACAACCGTGTAAAAAAAGATATTGATCATATATAAAAATAGGTGATTGGTTCCTTATCTCTAAAGAAATGTATATGACATTTTTAATTTTCAAACCGTGTTATATCAAAATGGTTTAAAAAAATACCGTGTAGTGTATATCCATAAATATTCAGCACATTTAGACGATTTTTGAAAACTGCACAGAACCAAATTTTGGTCTAAATTTTGTGGTATTAGTATAACGTTGTCAAAAAGTCAAGATAAATGAAGGAAGGTCTTGTAACGAACGATTTTAACCTCTGACCAGCAATGTTTTTGTATTAAAGTCGAAATATATTACAGTAATATGGCTTATCTAATAAATCTATAAATTATGTATATTATCGTATAAATAGTCTGATAAAAGTGTTTTTGTAATTCTCTGTTTTTTCCAGGATCGCTTGTTCTTTGTCATGGAGTATGTGAACGGTGGGGATCTGATGTTTCAAATACAAAAGGCGCGTCGTTTTGAGGCTGCGCGAGCGGCCTTTTATGCCGCTGAGGTGACGCTAGCTCTACAATTTTTGCATGCCCACGGCGTTATATATCGTGACTTGAAGCTGGATAACATATTGCTGGATCAGGAGGGTCACTGCAAGCTTGCCGATTTTGGCATGTGCAAGGTGAGGTCTAATATTCAAAGTCCAATTAGTACCTGTACGCAATGATTAACACTCATAATTCTATGCAGGAGGGCATTATGAATGGCATGCTGACTACGACATTCTGTGGCACCCCCGACTACATAGCGCCCGAAATACTCAAGGAGCAGGAATACGGCGCCTCTGTGGATTGGTGGGCGTTGGGTGTGCTCATGTACGAAATGATGGCCGGCCAGCCGCCATTTGAAGCGGATAATGAGGATGAGTTGTTCGATTCGATTATGCACGATGATGTTTTATATCCCGTGTGGTTGTCACGTGAAGCCGTTTCTATATTAAAAGGTAGGGTACTCCCATTATCCTCACCTTTTACCATAAACTAAAGAATTTTCTATGTGTTTGAGCTCAGGTTTTCTTACCAAAAATCCTGAGCAACGTTTGGGTTGTACCGGCGATGAGAATGAAATACGTAAACATCCGTTCTTTAATAAACTGGACTGGAAAGAATTGGAAAAACGCAATATAAAGCCACCATTCCGGCCCAAAATGGTACGCTTTAATAATAAAATAACCCTTTACAAAAATAGTTATGCAATGTCTTATTGTGCCTTTTACAGAAAAATCCACGAGATGCCAATAATTTCGATGCCGAATTCACCAAAGAAGAACCAGTGCTAACACCCATAGGCAACGAGGTCGTACGCTGCATTAATCAGGATGAGTTCGCCGGCTTCTCATTTGTCAATCCCAAGTTTGGACCCGAACGCAAAGTCTACTAAACGAAATCGCTGCAGACAGGGCAGGTTGGATGGCATTTAGCTTCACTAAACCACACAGAAGTGCTGTGCAGGACACAACTCTAGTCTGTATGATATTGTGAGTCACAACCGACGCACATGTTGGTCCAATTTCTCGGTAGAGTTTAGTAAGCAAAGCGTTCAAATTTTAAAACAACCAACTTTAAAGAAAAAGAATATAAGAATGGCTGGCACAGCACAGGCATGTTGCCCATGTTTTTAATTAGGTAAAGGCATCGCGCTATTACGTTACATTGTATTGTTAGTCGCCTCATCTAGCCTACAACATACTACTACTATCTTAGCCTAGCCGCCTACTCTATTCTAGCACAAGAAACACACTTCCACTTATAGTTTACTTTGCTACCGTTTAAAGCCCTTTGCAATTGCTTAATTGTTGTCTGTTTCCATTTGTTTATCTTTATTTTGTTTTAAGCAAGTGTTGGAATTTATAAAGCATAGCTCTTACAATGAAAAACCCAAAAAGGAAAACCGTGAAGGAGCTAAGAAACAACAAAATAATTGAATTGTATTTTTAGGTAGATCTATAAAAACCACTACAAACGAGTAGATCACCCTCTAGTCATCTACTACCAGTGCCAATTCGTTAACACTATAAACTACAAACAAATATAAATACTTGCACTTATACACACATACAAAGAACGCAGCTAATGCAGCTAGTTTTTTTGTCCGCCCCCATCCAGTCGTGCTTTTTTCAATGCTCAAAGCCTCATAAACGCTCTGCGTTCTTTTTGAAGCCCCCTCCTTTTTTAAGTGCGTTGCATTTGTTTATTGTTTGCCATAAAGCTTCCCCGATCTAGTCAAAAGAAAGGAAAAATGTTACGTTATATTTGTATTGTTGCTGGCAAGAAAAACGCACGCGCATTTTGTTATTAGTTTTTTATTTATTGACGTGCCGAATCTCAAGCTTCACACAAAGTGTAGCACAAGTCAGGATGAGATAAGAGGTATTTGCTTTAAGCGAATCTCAAGAGAATGTCACAAAATAGCCAAAAATACATACGCCGTCTGTAAAAAAAGAAGAGTATTAAACCAAAATAGGAAGAAGATAAAATTGATAATATTTTAGCCAACGTTTTGCACAATTTCCTTCTCAAGTATTAAAGCGATATTATTTTTAAATTAAATTATTGTTATTCATATTTATAAACGAGTCCGAACAAATATTTGTTTTTGTATTTCGTTTCGCAAGAAATTCAATACGAACATAATTCAGTTTTATGCATTAAGCCTTCGAGCTATACAACTAAACTAAAAACTTACTAAGCATTGTAATAAAAGAAAAAGGAATCAACTAAAACTAATACCTGTAAAACTGAACACAATGCTTTAACAAAAAGCACAACACACATACAAATACAAATATTTTATGCTAATGAAATTATAAATACAAACAAATGTGTCTAGCATGTAAGTTAAGGAAACACAAAACAAAACAAAAAACAAAGTGCAACAAGAAATATTAAATTGTGAAACTAAAGGCATATATACATACAAATATATATACATACATAGCGTTAAAATAGTATATGTGCAAAATGCAGTTAAAATAACTAAACCACACAATGAGAATAAAAGTATGTAAACTTTATAATAGTAACAATATTAAAATAAATTATGTGTTGATTTTAAAACCAAAGACTCAAACAAAATGAAAAGTTTAATCAGGCAGCATGCATAAAAAAATCAAAGAAACAATAATAATGGCTAAATATTGTTGCAAAAGCAGCATAGAAATGTTGCATATAAAATTATTGCATCGAAATTTGTTAGCGTATTTCAGTTTCAAAAGAATTGTACTTTACATTTAAAATAATTTTTTTTATTAATAGATTGAAATTTGGCGTACGGGTCTCAGTTTTTACGCTGCATTTGCAACAAGCATTTTTGCAAATTGACAGAATTTTATAAATTTTATGCAAACAGCTAGAACAAATAAATAAACATAGAAGAATTATTAATTGTAAGAAACATGTTAACTAAAACAAAACATAATAAATTAAAAAAAAAAACATCAACTTTGTAATACATAATAATAAACCTATGTAATATGTAATAATATATGATATAGTGAGCGGAGCGCAAATTACCCATTCAAATGTTAACCTAAAAAACAAATAACACATTTAACTAAACCTTAAAAGAATGCAAATGCTAAAAAACTAAACATAAAAAACACTAAAAAAAAAAAAACATTTGCTTTGCAACAAATCTCACACATCCAGCCAACATCTGTGCAGCACAATTTACATTTATACACGAATAAAGAGGAAATAATGCAAGCAAGCTAGCAAGCAAAGAAATGAACTATTCAAAAGAAAAACACTATCAAAAACATAAACAATATAATGTTGGTTGTTCACAGTGCTAAGCAGCGCAAAGTGAAATACAATGAGAAAGTAACGCGTAACCTGAGTAACAGAGAAATGCTAAAGTACACAAGAAATGAAACAAATTGTTAGTTTTAAGCTCATTATTATTATGATTACTATGACTATAAATATTATAGTCAATGGGCTGTCTCAAGAACCATCAATTACCTACTATGCGCGCACAAACACATACACACACACACACACACACACATGAAAACTCGTATATTTACATGTAATAGGAAACACGCCCACCCACGCTTAAAAAGGCGCACACTCATACATATTTGCAAACTTAACTGCAACCATTTAGGCAAATCTCAGAATTTCGTTGTATAAATGACATGTTGTAAGTTAAACAAATCTTTTAATTGCAAAATGTTTCAGTTTATATTTAAAACAGTATTTGAAAATGTGCTTATTTTTGCCCTTTTTTACTTTAAGAACTTTACCTAAATTGTTGATCATGTATCATGGAGCCTGGACAACTTTCAACTAAAAATATGTACAATAGACTTTAACTTCAACTATGCAAATCATATAGCTTCGCTAAACAAGCACCATTTGTGTGTAGATTACAACATGCCTCATAAGCACAACTGCAGTCACATCGGCAAGTGTGCAACTTTTTCATGTACCTTCTGCATCTTAGAAACTTAACAATACATTATTACACTACAAAGTGAGAAAGAAGGAACTAAACTAAGCCTAATGCCTATATTGTTAACAGATCTAAGGCAAACTAACTAAATTTTTAATGTAATATGTATTTATTAAAGGCATGCAACAAAACAAGAAATGCCACACACCGATGCATATTCAAAACACAACAACAAAAAACTGAAACAAAAAGTAAACACAAAAGAGTATTCCGAAAATACACATAACCGTTTATTTGAAATCAGAAAGAACAAACCTTAAAAATAATATTAAAGTTAATGTTTAAATATGAGATACATAAGCTACAAAGTAAAGTCAAAAGTCAACAGTTGATATGTTGTAAAAAGGAAAAACCAAGGGATGAAAAGGTGTTATTGATGAAACAAAATAATAGGTAAAAATGTACGATGATGATTATTATGATGAAGTGAGGAAAGCTAACCAAAGAAACAAAAATTACAAAAATGATTTAAAGTATTAAGTGAATATTTAATGAAGAAAAACTAATTAATAAATAAACAGGTAACACCTATAAAAATGTACAAATGCTGTTTTATTCAATTTGTATTGTTTAGGTAAAATGATATACTAGTTTATGTATGTAACAAACAAAACGAGGCGTGGCAGTAAATATATATAGTATAAGTATATATTCTTGATCAACATGCCGACACGATATATGTACATACATACATAGCTATGTCCGCCTATCCGTCCCTCTGTATGAATTCGAAACTATAAAATCTAGAATAACCAAGCTTGGTATCCAGATTCTTCTGGGTCCGAGAAAGGACAAGTTAACATTTTTTTGCCAATGACAACATATTGTTACATAAGTTTAGTTTTACACAAACACAAACTAAACATTTTAAACGTACTGATTATTTATAGTATGTACATATATGTATAAATACATTCATTCAGTTTACGAGTTCAAAATATGTCGTTGCAGTCACCATTTAATTTTCTGGTAGCATACTGCCAACCAGTGCAGCCCTGAAAAATACTAAACACAGAAACACATGGTGGAAGAAGAAGAAGCAAAACAAACCACACGTTTAACGCTTTAATTCCTTTATAGAGTAATAATTATATATCTGTATATGTTAGTTGCCAATATATATTAATTATGCCGAAAGTAAAAACAGAGAAGAAAAGTCGCATACACAATGAAGTGCAAAAACAAGGTGGGTTAAACATTTAGTTTCCCTAGAAACGTACATTAATTTATTCTCGGTATACAGGCATTGTCTTCAACAAGGATTTTGGACAGCATATTCTGAAAAATCCATTGATCATAACTGCCATGCTGGAAAAATCTGCGTTGCGACCCACCGACATTGTGCTGGAAATTGGTCCTGGTACTGGCAATATGACTGTACGTATTTTGGAGCGTGCCAAGAAAGTGATTGCATGTGAAATCGACACACGACTGGCCGCTGAGCTGCAGAAACGTGTGCAGGCCACATCGATGCAGCCAAAACTGCAGGTGCTTATAGGTGACTTCCTGAAGGCGGAGCTACCCTTCTTTGATCTGTGCATTGCCAACGTTCCCTACCAGATCAGTTCCCCACTCATATTTAAGTTACTCCTTCATCGACCGATCTTCCGTTGCGCCGTGCTGATGTTTCAGCGTGAGTTTGCACAGAGGTTGGTCGCCAAACCGGGCGACAAGCTATACTGTCGATTGAGCATTAATACGCAATTGCTAGCACGTGTGGACATGCTGATGAAGGTGGGCAAAAATAACTTTAGGCCGCCGCCAAAGGTCGAATCTAGTGTGGTGCGCTTGGAGCCAAAAAATCCGCCGCCGCCAGTCAACTTTACCGAATGGGATGGTCTTACAAGAATTGCATTTCTACGCAAAAATAAAACGCTTGCTGCGACCTTCAAAATAAATTCTGTGATTGAAATGCTCGAGAAAAACTACAAACTGCACCGTTCGCTGCGAAATGAGGTAAAACACCAAATAAATGAACTGATAACTTTGATACTAAAGCACTTGATGTACCCTACAGAAAATCGAGGATGATTTGAATATGCAGGCCAAAGTGATTGACATACTTGAGCGGCTAGAAATGGCCACTTCACGTGCCCGAACCATGGACATTGATGACTTTATGCGCCTGTTGCTAGCCTTTAACTCAGAGGGCATACATTTTAACTAAACATGTATGCTGGACTTGATTAGTTGCGTAATTTGTACTTTATATTGTGAAAATAACATTAATGTTTAATAAGAAGCTTTAAAAATGATTTCTAAGTAAATTTATTCGGTTTCATTCATTATTCACACAGTTAGTGTACAGTGGCAATACGTAGGTGTAGATATATGTATACATATATCTGCCGGTCTATCTATGGGCATTCGGTTACTGCAAGGAATTGTATTAATTTTTCAAGATATATTATTATTTTTCATGTTTTTGAGCAATCAAGCTTACCTACATATGAGCAAGCTTAATCAACATTACGATATAAACTTGTTGCTACGGATTACACGGTATTTTGATTTAATTGAATACCTAACAAAGGTAATATGCATATGAAAAATGAATCTTTTTCAAATGCGTAGCTCGATTGAGTTCATGAAAAATAAAAAGATAGTATCGAGTTCTTTAAAAACCGTACCAATTCGCATTAGATAAGACCGATATTAAAGAGCTTCGACCAATACGATAATAATGGAATGTAATTAAGCGCAATCACTGAAAGGTAATTTATGTATGGGAGATACAGTGTGAGAGAGAAAGAGTTTGATTGACGGAAATATGCATATATTAAACCGCTTGAGAAAGAATAAATTAATCGCCAGTTGCAATCAGTTACACTTCGATCGTATTTGAATGTAGTCGCAATCGCCACTGCCAGCTAGAAAATGAAAAGAATTTGCGCATTTCTCATAATGTCCCTGCATTGGACGTCTATAATCACGCAAGACCCTGAAGTTGTGCAATGTAGGTTGCATTATCTCTTGGCAATAATGAATTATACAAATTATGTTTATAATTTTACAGCATGCACAAAATACAAAAAAGATGTCTTTGAAGAGCAAGTGGCCTTTAGTCACTTCTTTCCCAATGCGCCAGTCGAATATGAAACTCTGGACAATTGTCACGGGGCTCGACCACTGATTGTTGGCGGAATGCCAGCGGAGGGTAAGGAATTTCCACATATGGCTCGCTTGGGTCATCGTCGTGCTGCTGACGCCGATGGAAAAACGGCAACTGACTGGTTCTGTGGCGGAACTTTGATAAGCGATCGTTTTGTGCTCACAGCAGCGCATTGTTTCTACTCTATAAGGTATTTAATCAAACTGATACATACTATAAGCATGTAAGTACAGTAGTCGGCAAAATTATTGTGATCAACAAAATTTATGAACAAGGCAGAAGGAGGCGAGTTTAGTAAATCTGATGTGTTAAGAAACTTGAGAGCTATGTATATTATCCATACAAGTCGATTAGAAATCAGCCTCATTATAAATCTGCTAGCTATAATTGTATATTCTAAAGCTTCATAAAAATCGGAATTAGCCACGACAATATACTACTTCCCCGTAAATTCTATAGGATTTCATTATCCTTGAAATGTTCATATGCAGACTGATTGGTATTGAAGGCTCTCTTAATACAACGTACAAGTAGTAATCAATATAATCATCACAAGAACAAATTGCAAAGCAGAAAACTTCGTTAGATGCTATCCAAATACTTTTGCCAACTACCGTACTGAATGTTTGCAAGCATGAGAAAAACTTCAAGACAAAAATAATCTGAAAATCAGAGGCGTGGTCAATATTGTGCGATTGGGTGAGCTGGACTTCGACTCGGACAAAGATGATGCGGACCCGGAGGATTTCGGGGTTCGCAGCTATAAGGAGCATCCGAACTATGATAATTCCCTACTCTACGATGATATAGGACTTGTTGAACTGGACGAGCCCGTTAAATTCAATTATTACAAACACCCAGCATGTCTGCCCTACGATGATGGTAGCCGTCACAACACCTTTATAGCCATTGGCTGGGGCCACAAGGCGCTTGTAGGCAGTGATTCCAACATGCTCCTGAAAGTCAAATTGAACGCGTACAACAATGTCTGTCGCTACAAAATCGAGTCATCCGATGAGCTACCCCGTGGCTTCAATGCAACCACACAGCTCTGCATTGGCTCCAGTGAACTAAAGGATACCTGCACCGGTGACTCAGGGGGCCCAGTCCTGGACTACCACAAGGACTACCCTTGCATGTACCATGTTCTGGGCATTACCTCAACCGGCATTGGCTGTGGCACACCCAATATTCCCGGTGTCTACACTCGCGTTCACTTCTACTTGGATTGGATAAAGCGAGAAATTACCAATACTTCAAAGAACTGACGGCACTTATAAATTTCATGGAATCGCGTTATAACTATAGATTTTCTAGCAGTTATAGATGTTTACAATGAACATATCTGTAAAATGTTTGTGTTAATTTGTTCTTCGCTGGAAACTATTAGAGTCTATAAATATGAAAGCAAGTGTGTTAGTTGAGTCGAAGCTGAGGGTTTTTTAATCGATTATACGACTTTAACGAACATTCTATATATGTATATATGTATGTATGTATGTAAATTAAATGAGAAATTGTACTGATGTAATTAGAGAAGTGTAATTAGAGAAGTGGTATACCAGTTCTTTAAGTGTTGAAATAGACTAGTTCCAAATCTTCGATTACCCAATTGTACAGATAATGAAGTATCTCAACTACATATACTGAAATACTTAATTATTTATTTAATTAAATTTTAGCATTTATTAATTCAATTTATGTTTGCTTTGTCGTTTCTTTATTAGATTCTTTTAGTAAATTGTTGTGGAAATCGTGCTTTTTATTATAGCCTGTACCCAAAGGGTGAAAGGCTATACTAGTTTTGTGCGCATGTATGTAACACACAGAAGGAGGCGTGGCAGACCCCACAAAGTATATATATTCTTGATCAGGATGAGAAGACGAGTCGATATAGCCATGTCCGTCTGTCCGTCTGTCCGTCTGTCCGTCTGACCGTCTGTCCGTCTGTCCGTCTGTCTGTATGAGCGCAAGGATCTCAGTAAGTACAAGAGCTAGGATAACCAAAATTGGTATCAAGGTTCCTATAAGCCCTAGGCAGAACGAGTTTGTTTAATTTTTCTGATACACCCCCCCACTCCCCCGCAATTCGTATTTTTTCTTATAACTTCCGTAATTCTCGGAATTTAAAAATCAATTTTGGTAGGTACATCCAGTTAGTACTAATGTGTCCGTGTGCCAAATTTCATCATGATAGGTCAATTCTGAAGAAAGTTATAGCCATAAGTAAAATCGCTGCTCATGCGCTGCCTGCAGCTCTGTCGGCAGCGCTGCCCGCAGCTGTTGTTGTTGCTGCTTTTGTTCAACTTTGTGCTGCATACATACACGCATATAAACACGCATAGGTACGTGATGTAAATGTGTGCTGTTAAAACTGAACATAAACATGTATTCTAATTTAATTTAATTAATTATTTTAATTAATTAATTCATTCATTTTTTTTAATAATTTATTTTTTTTTTAAATTTTTTTTTTTTTTTAATTTTTCCTTTTTGTGGAGAGTACAGGCTATTTTACTGTCGGGCTTGCTCGACTGTAGCGTTCTATCTTGTTTTAAAATCTAAAACTGGTGTAAAAGTCGGGGGGCGTCGGGGATAAAATGTCCAAACTCCAGTACAAGAACAAAATGGCGGGATTTTCAGGTTTCAAAGTGCTCTTCTGCACGTATGTATTCACTTCATATAAAGACAATTTGTAACTAACTTAACCTAGTTACAGCGCTCTGGTCCTTAACTAGCGTGTGGGAGAGAGAGGGCGCTGACGTCAGCCGCGCTGTGCTAGCAGATGTTGCTAGCGAATGTTGCTAGCAAACGTTGCCAGCCTGCCATGCAGGCTACTAGCAGTGCTGCCACGTCAACATCCTCCCCCCCCTGCAGGATGCAAATTAGTGCCTCCTAGGGTAGCGCGCCAGCGAGGACCCAGCCCAGCTGGGTCTGGAAAGCTGCGGGGACTCCGTGGCTTGCCGGCAGAACGCCCGGCAAGAGGATCTCTTGGTAGATCTCTGCCCCGAACACGATGGATACCGTGCTTGGGGTGTGCCAGCGCTCGTCCGCCAGGCGCACATTGCCGTAATGGCCATCCACTGGCTCTGTGATGCGCCGCTGGGGGGTTCGATGTGCAAGGTCCGTCACGACTGCTAGCGCTACGTCATGACGCCAGCTGGATGCCCTGGATTCGATTTCGGCACGGCACACCTCGGTCCCGTCCGACGAGAATGACGTCCAGCCGAGTGCTCGTATGAGTGACCGGCAGATGGTGCTGGTCGGGGAGCAGGCGTTGAGCAAAACCTTCACCTCCCATCGCTTACTCCTGCTCGTCATAAAAACCGTGGCGGTGGGCAGGACACTGGTGCCCCATAAGGTTGGGTGCGGGACCTGCGCTTGAACGCGACGCGGGGCGCGATCCAGTGATGGCGTGCGGGGATGAGCCAAAGCGCGTGGAGCCGACGGCGAGCGGGAGTAAGCCAAAGCGCATGGAGGCGATGGCGAGCTGGGGTAAGCCAAAGCGCGGGGAGGCGACGGCGAGCTGGAGTAAGCCAAAGCACGTGGAGGCGACGGCGAGCTGGTGTATGGTGACGCTGGAGGAGGTGCTGCGCTGCGGCTCGGAGGTTGGCGCGGCGACGAGCCAACGTGCAGCAAAGTGTGGTGCGCGGCCCCACAGATCTTGCACCGGGCACCACTGCGACAGACGCTGCCCGCGTGCTCGTGTGCGAGGCAGTTCGAGCAGTACTGGTTAATGCCTACTGCACGCGCACGTTTGACGGGAGGCAGGTTCAGGAACCGCGGACACTTCTTTAGGGCGTGCACACCACGACACATCCTGCACCGGTAGGAGTTCAGCCCCCTTGGCTGACGAGTGGCAGAGGAACGGACTAGGCGATGAGAGGGCATGTTGAGATCCTATGGAAATAAAGAACTTGTGAGTGCTGTGTCAGAAACAGGAAGGAAAGTGGCAAGCAGTGTGTTAGTGGGATTTAGGAGAGCATAGGGAGTAGGACGAGTTTGGCGACGGGTCGTTGGATGACGCCGCGCGCAGTTCGGACGTCGACCACTCGGACCTTGCCATCCGGACCTGGGTGCGCCGCTTGAATCCTACCAAGGCGCCATTCATTTGCAGGGATATTGTCCTCCTTGACAATGACCATGGCGCCCGGTTTGAGGTCCTCCTGTGGCTGCTGCCATTTGTGGCGCTTCTGCAATTCCTTCAGGTACTCCTCCTTCCAGCGGAGGCACAGCTGCTGGTTGAGCGCTTTAAGGCGCTGCCACCGATTAATAATGGATGGCGCACTCTGCGTTACTTCCGGCTCAGCAATGGAGAGGAGAGGCCCGCCGGTGAGAAAGTGGCCTGGCGTTAGCGCCTGGACGTCTGTGGCATCTTCTGACATGGGCGCGATTGGACGTGAATTAAGAACCGCCTCAATTTTGCACAGGAGCGTGGAGAGCTCTTCAAATGTGTACTTGAAGTTGGAGGCGGCCTTGTAAAAAAGCGCCTTGAAGCTTTTGACGCCGGCTTCCCATAAACCGCCCATATGGGGTGCACCTGGCGGGATAAAACGCCATGACACTATTTGGTGGCCGTAGGATCCGACTATCCGCGCCCGGGCTGCTTCCAGAAAATCGCGCTCCAACGCTTTTGCTGCTCCAACGAATGTTGTCCCATTGTCAGAATGAATTTGTTGGGGACACCGCCGCCGGGCGACGAAGCGCGCGAAAGCCGCCAGAAACTTCTCGGTGGTCAAGTCGGAAGTTGCTTCTAAGTGGATAGCCTTCGTGCTGAAACACACGAAGACACACACGTAGCCCTTCGTGATGAGGCAGGCGCGGCCCGTATAATTTTTAATTTCAAACGGGCCCGCGTAATCAACGCCTGTATGAGTGAATGGAGGAGAAAAGGTACTACGTGTAGCCGGAAGGCTGCCCATCAGCTGAGTCTGCAGCCGCTTTTTAAACACGACGCAGACCTTGCATGAGTTGATGGTGGCTTTGACCAAATTCCGCAGTTTGGGGATCCAAAACTTCGCTCGGACGAGGCTGACGGTCAGCTGGTTCCCGCTGTGAAGGGATAGCCGATGGACGAAACGGACTAGGAGCCGAGAATAGGCACAGCTGTAAGGCAGGACGATTGGATGTCGCTCGTCGTAGGTGAGCGAGTCGGAGGAAGACAATCGTCCGCATGCCCGGATGACACCTAGATCATCCATAAACGGATTCAAGTTTTGGAGGGAGCTGCTGGAGGATATCCTCTTCTGATTCGACAAGGCGCCGTATTCATGGGGATACTCCTTCTTTTGGGCGCAAATCGTCAAGATCCGCTGGGTCCGGACCAGCTCCTGGTGTGTCAGCTCCTTGGTCGACGGAGTGGGAGCCTTCTGGCAGCGCTGCACAAAACGCTGGATATACGCCATGACCCTGAGCGCTCTCCCAAAGTCGGAGAACCGCTCAAGGAAGTCTGGAGCTGAAGCCAGTGTGGCGACATGCGTTTGGACGCGGCGTTGTTCCATGTCCGTCTCCTGTGGGGTCTGCTCTTGAGCAGGCCAATTCTCTTTCGGGGTCACGAGCCAGGCCGGCCCATGCCACCACAAGTCGCTGTCTCTTAAGTCCTGCGGAGAGACTCCTCGGCTCGCGAGGTCGGCGGGGTTATGCTCAGAGCGAACGTGGAGCCAATCATCTTTGTTTGTGGCTTGGACAATTTTAGCCACTCGATTGGCCACAAAGGTGGTCCAGTTGCACGCGGGCTTGCGCAACCAGGCTAGCACAATGGTGGAATCAGTCCAACACTGAATCGGAAGGCTACTGAGCGGAAGGTGTGGCAGGATTGAAGCGCACATATCAGCTAGTAGGACTGCGCCACATAATTCTAGACGTGGCAGCGACACTGTTTTGGTTGGAGCCACTCTCGTTTTGGCTGTAAGGAGGTGGACTCGGATTTCCTGGCGAAACTCTACTCGGACGTAGAGTGCGGCTCCGTACGCCCGCTGTGACGCGTCGCAGAAACCATGGTACTGGAAGAGGCATTCAGGGCGGAAATCTACCCATCTCGGAATCCGGATCTGGTCAAGCTCTGGGTAGCTCTGTAGAAACTCCACGGTCCAGAACATCCACGTCCACGTACATGAACTCCTTCACGATTTGGCTGGCTAATGGATACTGCGCTTGTGAGTCTTCTGCGAGCTGCTGAAGGACTCGGATGGCCAGGAAAGGCGCACAGTTTACCCCAAAGGTGACTGTGCCTAATTCGTAATCGCACAAAACCCCGTCTGGATTGCGAAACAGGATTCTCTGAAACGGAGTGTGTTCAGGATCGACTCGTATTTGCCGATACATTTTGGTGATGTCGCTACTGAACACATAACGAAAGAACCGCCACTTCAGTACCTGCAGGATCAGGTCAGACTGAAGGACCGGTCCAGGATGTAGGACATCGTTTAAACTTTTCCCATTAGATGAGGGACTGGAAGCATTAAACACCACGCGGAGCTTGGTCGTGCTGCTGTCTGGCTTGATGACTGCGTGGTGAGGGAGATAATAATTGCAGCGGCTCGTGGGCGGAGGGACTTGG